ACTCGGATTAGAGTAGCATGTCATGTCGCCGGACCCTCGATACTCGCTCTCGTTTTCTGAATAAGGTAAATTCCTAATAGTTCAGGCATCTCAATGTTAACGTGCGTGCGTAACAACTGGCGATAGGGATGGGATCATATTGATTCTTCAAGACTTGAATTATTACCCGATGAGCAGCTGAACTAGTGAAGATTCTGTTACGAAGAGACTTAAGAATTATTAATATTCTATAATTTTCTTTCTCTTAGCGAAAATTGATTTGCTTCCTATTTTTGAACTTTATTGTGTTTTATTCTACATTTCCATGTTTAGTGACGGCACAATTTGTTTCATGCGTGTTTTCATGGCTTTCACTGGCGTGGTCGGATAATATTTTGAAATATTATTATCTGTTTAGTTAAAGGAGCTTCCTTCATATAATTTTGAAATATAAATTCGAAATGTGTATAATACGAATATATTTCGTCTAACCATAGATAAACATTTCTTGACCTCGTTCAGTATATGAATGAGATGTAACGGTTTATTTAAAATTCATTTCACCAGATTATACCAAGATGATATAAACTAGGTGGGAATTCTAGGCTGGTGAAAATAAAAAGCCTGTTGGTACGTTTGACGGAAAACTGGCTGGTCACTTGAAACAGAATTAAGCGAATGTTTATCGTGGGTTACCTATCTGTTCCTATTAGGCCTCCTGCAGCACAGGTCGCGCACCAGGATTCTTCTACCAACTATAGCTTAGACTTTTCTTGTGGTGGTGGTGGTGTTTGTTTCTTTGAGCTGGGTGTTTCGGTTGTGGAGCAAATAGATCGACATACTGTACTTCAATAACGGGAAGGTGCAAAACTTGGTCGTAACAGCCTTGTTTAACTGATCAGAAACGTTTGTGTTGAAGATCTCGGCCATCTCTAGGTTTTTGAGGTCTTCCGCGTTTGGTCCTTTGAGAGAACACAACCCTTGATTAGTAGGTTTTCTTACGGACATGAACCTAAACAGATGCTTCGGGTTTGCCTCTATTTCGGCAGCTAACTTCATCTAAAATTCATATACAGATCAGGATTGTACCACGTGTTGGAATCAGCACTTATCGGTTCAGAAGTTTAGTTGAAAAACCAGAAAATAATGAACACTTTATCAACTATTGCATGGATATGCTAAACTGCTTTCATTTTCTGACTTACAATAACTCCTAGATAATTGTGCTGAACAATGACTACTTTACAATTTTTCGAAGTCCTGTAGAGGTGGTTGGCATACAATTATTTAGTAAACAACTTTTGTTGTCATTCACGTTTTCTCAGTTCTACTTCGTTTTTGAAGTCACTGTTTTTTTAATTAAAAAATCATTTTTTGGATTCAATTTTCAGCTACCTTAATTGTTTTGTTCCCACTTGGCGTAGTATACCAATTACATATCACAAAATATACCACTCCTCTTTCTACCTTGATCAGCTGCAGAGCGAATAGATCGTTAATATAACTGTTGTCAATATTCACAGATCATATTGACCTTAAATTTCTATTGCTCTTCGCATACATTGTCTTGCATTATCTATTCATTCGATTTTGCAGCAAACACAAATGTTAGTTTATAGATAGGCTGGAAAAATACACGTGAAACAACTCAGTAAATAAAAACCTAAAATCTCACCAGTCAACTTTTCGTCTGATCAGCAGGACTAACTTTAGCACTACATTGCGGTTCCACTGTATGCGAGGAATGCTTCTAAAACACCTAGGATCAGATATTGGCAGAACATACAAACCATCTACACCAAAGTGTTTCGAAGGTATACAGTACATTCGTCCCGAAATACTCAGACAAATATCACATAAAAAAGTGGTACAATTTCGCGGAACGCTTGATGACTTCCATACATTCATCCCGAGATTTCGTTAACCGTCAAACCAGTAGTTTCGACGAGACATTCAAGTAAGTTGGGAGAGACGCAAAAACCAATCCTGAGGCAAAATACCAAATTAGGGGGAATAAAAATACATCTATACGGCCAAAAATAACTTAATTTCTTACGCCTGTTGCTCCTGACGGAGCACAGGCCGCCGACCAGAGAATTATTCTTTTTGGTTAGCGTTTCTTAGCGAGTTGGATTTGTACGGGACGAGGTCTCTTAACCCACGCACAACCTTCTTTTATGTTTAGTCCTGGGAATGGCAATAACCACAGAACGGCTCATAGTCAATTTAGACTCGGTCACCACTAAAATTGGTGAGCTGACGTATAAAGGTTTTAATCAGCCAAATGTCTTCATTTCTCCCGTAACACAGGCGCCCACATGTTCAGAGTACTACGTCAACCCATTGCCAGCTGACGGCTTAGGAAACAGCCGTATGTGTCAGTTGGTTATTCTGTTTGGACCGTAAAATACCGGTGCACGTAATATTTCTCGACTTTGCAAAAGCCTTTGACACAGTACCTCGCTCACACCTAATCGAAAAGGTTGTGGAAATGGGCTTCACTGACCTACCCCTTTTTTGGCTCAGGAACTACCTTGAGAATAGAAAGTTTCGCACCAAGGTAAACGAGTTTGTGAAAGGAACTTGCAGAAATAGTGTTTCTCAACAGGATGCGAGACATAGAACACCAAGTAGAACTCAATAGCTTCTTTTAAACATTTAACATGAGCCTAACAACACAAAAGGAGGGAGGGTGGAGTTACTGACCAGCAAACATTGATGGTGTGGGCGATAACTTCAAACCACCCATGTTTGTGGGGCAGAACATTTTGTTTGCTTTCGGCTCTTTAGATTGATGAGACGACTAATCAGTAACACTGAGGTTGCTCTTATACGCTTGCTACTTCTGTGGTTCATGTTTCCGAAACTATGCTGAGGTCGCTATTCTGTCGAGACACCTGCAACATTCTTACTCAGGCGCTAACAGTATGACTTAGAGGTTGGCATTCAATAATAAAGAAAAAAAACAGTTAGACAGTGCGAGATTTTATTCGTCAAATTTTTATTTTTACAAACTCTACTCTTTCAACTAGAATTTCGATTTCAACGTACATCTTTTTGCTGTACTCCTTTATCTGTGCGTTATATTCTTATATTCCCATAATTTACTTTAATTTAAGTGGTCAGTATGAATTTTATCTTGACTTACTACTGTATTGACTACTTTAACATGACAGGTTAAGTAGTGCTTTGGTTATATATATACACTTGCCACACTGCTGCCTTTTCCTCTCTCTCTTCTCCTTTTCAGAACCCCATTCACGGTGGGAAATCCTTGGCGACTCTAGGGAACATGCACCCTATGTACATGACTGTCTGGATCACAGCTCGTATCAAGCGCGTTCCATATGACCTTTCCCAACACATTCACTATTGATCTCGGCCAATCGCCAATAGAACCAATTGTGCACCTTCCTCATTTGTACTCTACTATTGAAAATGTGGCTGTATAATACTGTTTCTGTCAGTGACATGGTGTAAATATGCAATCAGAAACTGTCTCTTATACTTAATTTAACTGCTATAACTTTACAGTAATTGTGAAAGCATTTGTGACAATTTGATCTAGCCTGTAAACTGGCGTGACTCTTGTAACGTAGTTATTTGAGAATAAATTATTATTAAACAGAGTGCACGCGAGTTGGCGAGTATCCACTTCGGGAGTTTCACAGGGGACCATCCTAGGCCCACTTCTCTTCCTGATATTTATTAACGACCTGTTAGGCTCAGTCAGCTTACCGGCATTGATCTACTCAGACGATGCGAAGATCTGGAGGTCCATTAGAAGCGAAGAGGATTCGACTGAGCTTCAAAAGGACCTTATATCTATTGAGAAATGGGCAGTGAAAAACGGTTTAAAACTCAACCAACCGAAGTGCCACGTCATGCATTTCCTGCCTCATATGACGAAAACGATCTATACCCTTAATGGGAGTCCGCTCCCTAATGTCTCCTCAGAACGCGATCTCGGTTTAATAACCACAGAAAGCCTCCACACCAGTTCAAACTATGTAGGGGATGCAGCCAAGGCAAATGCGACTCTTCACTTTATGCGAAGACAACTTGGTGCTATCACCCCGCAATTATTTTTAACCCTATTTAACACGTACGTGCGCCCACACTTGTAGGTTCACAACGTCATCGCACGAAATGAGTGATAGGGTTGAAAAATAATCCTTACGACGATAGACTCCAGCTCTTGGGATTATTTCCACTGAGCTACAGGAGAATCAGAGGTGATCTCATTATGGTGTACTATAACATATTAAGCACTCCAAACAGTCTCAACGTGAGCATCTTACCGATGTATCACCACCACTTCCCTCGAGGTAATCCTCGAAAGATTGCACATCAAAGAGCGAATACTCAGATTCGTGCTCACTTTTTCTCATTGCGATTCGTCGCTGAGGTGACCACAGCCCCCTCAGTGGACTGCTTTGAGAAGAGACTCGATAATCACGTACTCAGATAAGGATTATCATCTCCCTCTTGGACAAGCTGTTCATGATGCACATCTTGAGACTTGCTATTTGTTATCATTGCCATCTCATCAGATCACTCAATTATTCCATCTCGCCAATTATCTTTGTTTCCTCTCCCTTGCTTACAATACAGTCCTCTCTCACATTCTTCACTACCAATTAACAAACTGAATTCATCTATATATTACTCAGTTCTGAAATTTTATTCATCTTATCATTAGAATTTTATCCTTATTATACTTATTACTCTCCCCATTGCAACTAACTGATCTTCGCTCTGGTAATGTGACGGCTGCTGGTATCCATGAACCATACTGCCCTGAAACAAACGTTTCATTCAAATCCCGAGACACAAACTCACAACCAACTGCCAACTAGAATTAGACAATCGAGTGTCTAGACCTCCATCCATTGGAAATTACTGAACACCTGGAACCGTACCGAAAGAACAGGAATCGAGAGCGAAGAAATCAAATTGGTTTACACTAGCTCGCGAAAAAGATATTGGATATTGGAGACCGTCCTCTTATTTAGTTTATTAGGCGCTTCATTTAAAGTGTGTGTTCCAAAATGGCTAGGGGCTGTCCTGCGAAGGTCGTTGTGAGAGGGCTACCAGCAAAACTAACTGCAGAGGATTTTATCAAAATTGTTGACCCATTGCCATCGCACACTTATTTTAGGTTTTGTGACGCAGACAACTCCCTTGGTGTTTTGGGTCTGACACGGGTTTACATTACATTTAGTGACATGGATTCTCTGTTTGATTTTAAAGAGAGGTTTGATGGATATATTTTTTTGGACTGTGAGGTAGTTCTAGTATTTTAGTTATTCGTTCAGGGAAATGAGTCTTCCGCCTATGTAGAGTTCGCTGTTTGTCAGGCATTGGCAAGTTCTAAAGGGTCTTCGGATGATAACAAGGGAGGCAAGGTTGATAAGAAGCAGGGTTCTCTGTCAAAGGACCCGGAGTACGTAAACTTCGTAAACTCCTTGGAATCATTCGATGTTTGTGGAGAAACATCAGAATCAGAATCTAAAAAAATGCCTTGGGAATCCATCTTGGAGGATCTCCAAAACAAAGAAGCAAATGCGTCTCAGGTCGGTGTTGTAATATAATTTTATATCCTGGTTACGCTGTTTGTTGGTTTTATTATGCCTGTATCTATGTAAATATTTGGTTTCGTTAATCAGCGTCCGTTACTCCATGTCGCATACAAAGCTTCAAAATCAGTCATCAACCATTTTTTTGTCAGTTTTATTTCCAGTCCCTCTATTAATGTTTCTACCTCTAATGTAGAACTTAGCCTAGCATTTTCATTCCAACGCTAATCTGGTTATGGCCACTCAAAACGATGTGTTTGGCTACGAAGTTCTACGTTTTAGCTGACTGAGCGGCAGGGCGACCCTTTACTGTATCTAAAGTACTCAGTCTTGAAGTCAGACTTATCAAAGTTGAATGGCATCATGTCTGCAAATCGTCGTTCCAAGACCGTGAAGCTTCACAGTCTATTTATCACTATCCAGTCAACAAGATTACGTAATCGTAACCACTTGCACTCCTTCCACTCCTCAGTCAACTATCATCCAATGATGAAATTTCGAGCAATTATTGTTACAGTTAGCAAAAATTAACGTTGTTAAAACCTGTTCAAGCCTTACTACCATGATAGTCATGTTCCTGGTTAGTTAGCGGATCTACTTTTGTTCAGCTTTAATTAATAATACACGTGGGTCTTTGATCCCATTGTAATGCCTGACAGACAGACAGACAGATACAACGCAGAACTTCGTACGTAAGTACATCAGTTCATGTCGCCATACCACATCAGCACAGAGACGCAACTGTCAGTTAAAATCCAAGATTGATATTGATAGTAGAAGTATTAGCAGTAATGGAGAGGAATAGGTGGCGAAGATACGATTCGAGAAGTTTAATTCAGTGAGATAAATTTAGAAGGAGAAAGATCGAGATTATGACGAATTCGGAAGGTTAAGTTTAGAGAGAACTCAAAGAGTGGTTGCACCTGCGCCATTGCAAACGATTCTGAGCCATGTCGTTAAAAGTCTCTAACCATTGGTGACATTCGTCTCGCGGACCCCAACCAGGTAGCCTACATCTACCAACATGACTCAGTTCACTTGTCAGTGACTTCATGAATTTCTGCCATGTTTTGATCTGGCCACCCCCAGCTTTCTTCCAACCTACTCCTACACCGCAAAATATAGCTCGACGAGGCAGTCGGTGGTTAGGCATACGTAACACATGTCCCAACCACCTCAACTGATGAAGTTTCATTACTTCATCTATTAATCCGCCATCTTTACCTAGCACCCGTTTCCTAATAACAGCATTGCTCACTCGATTGTTCCATGATATACGAGCAATCCTTCGGAGACACCTATGATCGAAACCAGTAACCTACGAATAACTTCTACTCTTAACGGCCATGTGTCACAGCAATAAAGTAGGAGGGAGCAAACTACTCCGCAGTACACTCTTCCTTTAGTCAGCAAACGGATATCTCGCCTACGCCATAAGTGATGCAGGTTGGAAAAAGTTAGTCGAGCTTTCTATATCCGTGCTGAGTTCTCGTCAGTCACTAGGACATCAGTAATGATGAAACTTACGCGATGAGTGAAGCAGTCTACACGTTCGACTACTTCAATCCCTATCACTAGTTCAGGTGCCGATGAAACCCAGTCTTGAAGCAACGTTTCGCATTTCGACGGGGAAAACCGCATCCCGAACATGCTTGCATTGTTGCTTAGGGTGGTCAGAAGACTGCATTTTGTCAGCGTCTTCACCAAGTAGGACTATGTCATCGGCATATTCTAGGTCAGTAAGCGATATTCCTGGTAAAAAGTTGACTCCTAAAAAATCGGACGAGGATAAGGTTATATCTAGAAGCATGTCTATGACAAAATTAAACAAGAATGGAGAGAGTGGACATCCCTGACGCACACCACTTGAACTAGAGAATTCAGATGACAGTTCTCCATAAGCTCTCACTCGACCAGTGATGTTGGAGTGGAGAGCTCGTATAAGGTTAATGTACTTCTTTGGAACATCTTCCAATGAAAAACACTGCCAGCCTGGTTATCTCTAGTCTGCTCTTCGCGTGCACTAGTTGGGCGTCTAAGTATAATCGAGGCTAACAATTAAGTAACTATATTAGTTAGACTTATTCCCCTGTAATTCTCATACGAGGACTTTTGTCCTTTCTTATAGATTAGGACAATCAGGAATTGGGACCAGTCGGATGCGACTACGTCCAGTTCCCAGATTCTACCTGAGATTTCAGTCAACCTAGCAGCTACAACTGGACCGCCATCCTTAAAAATATCAGGGGTAAGCCCATCAGAACCTGCTGCTCTCCCTCGCTTCAGATTTCCTACAGCCTTTTCAACTTCATAAGGGTTCGGAGGGCTTACGTCGACTTGCCACTCAGGATGACTGGAGATCGTGGGTAACTGAAGTGTGGCTGAAGGCCAGTTGAATTGATCTCTGAAGTGTTCTGCTCATAGATCCAATCTCCTGGGTCGAGAATATGTAATAGTCCCATCCTTTTCCGAAATAGTCTCACTTACGATAAGATTCCTAATACCAGTTTCCTTGATTAGTCGGAAAAGTTGTCTACTGTTACCTATCGCCGCTGCCCTTTCCATCGCTTTTGCTTTCGCCACCCACCACTGTTCACGGTTCTTGCGTAGGCTTTTTATCAGCCTGCGTCTAAGCTGACTTCGTTCTTCATCATGTTCAGAGCCAGGTGGGATGAGTTTTCGAGCATCAGTCAGTTCGGTGGATGCTACTGAGATCCACGGCCTCATTCTAGCCTTATGGTTTACCTTACTAGCGGATATCACTGCTGTTTCCACAGCCTTTCTGATATCATTCCAACCTGCCTCTGGATGGGAAATATATTCTTAGCTTTATTATCATTAGGTGAAACCCTAAGAGGCTTCCTTACGGTGTGCCTCAGTACAAGCGACAGTCCTCTATCGAACCCCTCCATCGGTGGCTGATGGCGATGTGATTTGTCTGGGTCCAACGTTGAAACGACTTTGTGGGTCACAAGGTCAATAGATGGTTTTCCTTATGCCTAAGGTTAGTTTTTATGAGAAATAGTTGGTTGTGCCTGTGTCGTGACGCAAGCCTTTTGGTTAGTTAGTCCCTCAATTACATCGTGGAATTCAGGACCTACGTACATATGACCCGAGAAAATATGAAAGAAAAGATTCAAAACACGAAGAATTCTTGAGAAATTCTTGAGCATAAAATGTAGAGGAACAACAGGTTGATGCATCCGTACCATTGCTAAATAATTTGAGGCTCTAACCATCGGTTACCATTGCCACACGGACCTCAACCAGGCAATCTAAAAATGCCAATATGGTTCAGTTAAGATGTCAGTGACTCCATAGATTTGTGTCACGTCTTTGTTTGGCTACCCTTAACGTTCTTCCAATCTACTCATACACCAGACAGCAACACTCGTGGAGGTGGTCGGTGATTGGGAATACGTAACACACACGCCCCAGCCACCCAGATGATAAAGATTCATTACTTCATCAATCGACTTGCCATCCCTACTCATTACCCTATTCCTAACCTCAGCATAGCTTGCTTAGTGATACCAGAATACATAAGCAATGCTTCGAAGACAAGTACGGTCGAATACTTCGACATTGTAACTGACTGAATGAACGGTCGAATATTAGTAGCCTAAAAATATCGTCTATTCTCACTGGCCGTATTTCACACCCGTAAATTAGGACAGAGCGAACTGCTGCGCAGTAAACTCATCCATTGATTAGCAGACGCACGTCGGCGACGGATGAGGGCGAAGTCGTACTGCTGACTGCAGAGAGGTGTGACAGCAGTAAGGTGTTTCCTTCGGACAACCAGTATCTGCAGCGATGCTACCTTCTCACAAGGAAAGAAGGGTTGGAAAAGGTTGACCCTAAAATTGTCACACCTCACACGACCTCACGGATTTCCGTCTTCGTCCGTAAGGGTGTCCACTAAGTGCTTTTAAGAGCCGTGCGTGACCGGCCTCAAGCAGTTGTCCCTTGGACTCTGTAGTCATGCTCCAAGGTCTCTCAGACCAACACTAATCTTCCTTTTCAGGTCCCTCAAGAAACAACCTTACACGGTGTGGGCAACAGGGAAGTGACAACCTCCCTCATAAACGTAAAGGCACACGAGATCAAATTGGTCAAAATCAAATCCTTCTTACACCCACTAATATCCCTCATATCCCTACGACTAACTCTACTAACATTCCTTCATCTCTCTGCAACGCTAATGCAAACGATGCGAGTTCACGAAACGTCATTCCTGGTCTCCTTAAACCCCGTTCCAGACTACATGTTGGAGCTTTTAATGAACGGACATCATGTCAAAAAGGGCAACAGGCTTCGTTAGCTTGGACATTAGAATCTCGCTCAATCGATGTATGCTGCGTCTCGGAAACGCGCATGCAGGATCCTAGTAAAATCATTAATTTGATTTCACCTTGTCAGAATAAAGAAGCAGACCGATTTACTCTTCATGTATCCGGTAGCCCTGATGCTGCTTCCCGGGGTCTCGCTGGTGTAGGAATAGCATTGAGCCGTAGGGCTGAACTATCTCTCTTAGACTGGATCCCTGTAAATAGTCGCATGTGCGCTGTCCGACTGAACGGGACAGTATGGACTCAGAAAGATAGGGACACCCGTCGTTGCCTCTTCGTCGTATCTGCCTATGCCCCCACTGACTGCAGTTTAGACGAGGTGAAAGATGAGTTTTACAGGAAGCTTTCGGAACTCCTCCAAAAAGCTAGGCGCTCTGATATAGTCATAATGGCTGGTGACGTTAATGCTCAAGTAGATAGACTAAGTGAGCAGGAAAGACACCTAGGTGGATGTTATGGTGTCGCGGCTCAAAAGAACAGACAATGGCGACTGTCTATTGCAGCTATGCTCAGATATCCGCCTATTTCTAGCAAACACTAACTTGAGGCATAAGGAAAAACATCTGTTGACCTGGCGACCCCCGAAATCGTCTCAACCTTGGACCCAACCAAATCACATCAGCCACCGATGGAGGGGTTTGATAGAGGACTGTCGCTCGTTCTGGGGCACATGTTTAGATTCAGATCATACCATAGTGTGAACGCGTATCTGTTTTCGTCTTGCTGGACGTAGGAAAGACACCGCGAGGAAACCTCTTAGGGTTCTACCTAATGATAGCATAGGTAAGAATATATTTCAGGAGAAACTAGAACGACAGTTAGGCGACCATGTAAGCGATTCCCATCCAGAGGCAGGTTGGAATGATATCAGAAAGGCTGTGGAAACAGCAGTGATATCCGCTAGTAAGGTAAACCATAAGGCTAGAATGAGGCCGTGGATCTCAGTAGCATCCACCGAACTGACTGATGCTCGAAAACTCATCCCACCTGGCTCTGAACATGATGAAGAACGAAGTCAGCTTAGACGCAGGCTGATAAAAAGCCTACGCAAGAACCGTGAACAGTGGTGGGTGGCGAAAGCAAAAGCGATGGAAAGGGCAGCGGCGATAGGTAACAGTAGACAACTTTTCCGACTAATCAAGGAAACTGGTATTAGGAATCTTATCGTAAGTGAGACTATTTCGGAAAAGGATGGGACTATTACATATTCTCGACCCAGGAGATTGGATCTATGAGCAGAACACTTCAGAGATCAATTCAACTGGCCTTCAGCCACACTTCAGTTACCCACGATCTCCAGTCATCCTGAGTGGCAAGTCGACGTAAGCCCTCCGAACCCTTATGAAGTTGAAAAGGCTGTAGGAAATCTGAAGCGAGGGAGAGCAGCAGGTTCTGATGGGCTTACCCCTGATATTTTTAAGGATGGCGGTCCAGTTGTAGCTGCTAGGTTGACTGAAATCTCAGGTAGAATCTGGGAACTGGACGTAGTCGCATCCGACTGGTCCCAATTCCTGATTGTCCTAATCTATAAGAAAGGACAAAAGTCCTCGTATGAGAATTACAGGGGAATAAGTCTAACTAATATAGTTACTTAATTGTTAGCCTCGATTATACTTAGACGCCCAACTAGTGCACGCGAAGAGCAGACTAGAGATAACCAGGCTGGCAGTGTTTTTCATTGGAAGATGTTCCAAAGAAGTACATTAACCTTATACGAGCTCTCCACTCCAACATCACTGGTCGAGTGAGAGCTTATGGAGAACTGTCATCTGAATTCTCTAGTTCAAGTGGTGTGCGTCAGGGATGTCTACTCTCTCCATTCTTGTTTAATTTTGTCATAGACATGCTTCTAGATATAACCTTATCCTCGTCCGATTTTTTAGGAGTCAACTTTTTACCAGGAATATCGCTTACTGACCTAGAATATGCCGATGACATAGTCCTACTTGGTGAAGACGCTGACAAAATGCAGTCTTCTGACCACCCTAAGCAACAATGCAAGCATGTTCGGGATGCGGTTTTCCCCGTCGAAATGCGAAACGTTGCTTCAAGACTGGGTTTCATCGGCACCTGAACTAGTGATAGGGATTGAAGTAGTCGAACGTGTAGACTGCTTCACTCATCGCGTAAGTTTCATCATTACTGATGTCCTAGTGACTGACGAGAACTCAGCACGGATATAGAAAGCTCGACTAACTTTTTCCAACCTGCATCACTTATGGCGTAGGCGAGATATCCGTTTGCTGACTAAAGGAAGAGTGTACTGCGGAGTAGTTTGCTCCCTCCTACTTTATTGCTGTGACACATGGCCGTTAAGAGTAGAAGTTATTCGTAGGTTACTGGTTTCGATCATAGGTGTCTCCGAAGGATTGCTCGTATATCATGGAACAATCGAGTGAGCAATGCTGTTATTAGGAAACGGGTGCTAGGTAAAGATGGCGGATTAATAGATGAAGTAATGAAACTTCATCAGTTGAGGTGGTTGGGACATGTGTTACGTATGCCTAACCACCGACTGCCTCGTCGAGCTATATTTTGCGGTGTAGGAGTAGGTTGGAAGAAAGCTGGGGGTGGCCAGATCAAAACATGGCAGAAATTCATGAAGTCACTGACAAGTGAACTGAGTCATGTCGGTAGTTGTCGACTACTTGGTTGTGCCAGGGAGATGATAAAAATCGATGGTTGGAGACCGTGAATGACTTCTGAAAATTCTTTGAAGTGGTACGGGTGCATAATCTCAAATCGTAAACTTTTCGATTCCTTTCCACTTCATGTTTTTAAGTTTATGTCACCTGATTTTACTTCTTGAAAAATATGTTTTGAACTCTAATCTCCTTGATTACTGCTAATATCCTACCTACCTCCACTGATGTGGGATTGGTATTGACAATTACATCTCTTTGCTTATATGGTATGGCGACATGAACTGATGTACGTACGTACGTACGAAGTGTTACGTCGCTATTGATTGATTGACGCCAAGGTTGTATCGGTTAGGTTTTTTTAACTATCGTTTGATTTTTGTTATCATTGAAATAACACTCGTATAAGTAAATCACACAATACTATCTACTGTTTTGTACATCTATATATATATATATATATATATATATATATATATATATATATATATATATATATATATCAGTGATAACAGACATTACATATTTTTGTTTGTGATGGTGTGCTTATGGTCGAAAAGAAAGATGTGTGAGACTTCTTTTTTCACTCATAGTTTTAACCTATCTTTGAAATGGAATAATAAATGGAAGTCATATAGCTGTAGTTGAGTACGTCCTCACGCTAGATCATGACACATTTACCAATATTCACTATTCTGTCCCTAGATTTTCTTGATATCATGAATTACTGGTTTAGTTGATTGAGTCATTTTCAAGTAGAATGAGATTTATTTCTCGCCAAATTCTTTATACCTAGTGTTCATCCTATAATGTTGATCGGATTAAAAGTCTGAATACTCCGCTTTACCACTTGTTCGTTAATTCAATAGCGTCTGAATAATATTGCCCTGTTTTTTCTGCTTTCTTTCTATCAATACGTATTTATCGGCTTCTTTATTTATTCATCCATTCATTCATCCAGTGGCTTATTTACCAGGTATGAGTTTATGTTCTCGGCTTTGATCTTTATTGTTTGCCTAAGTTCTTCTACTCGGTTTCCTAAACTAAGTAATGTTAAACATATGCTAGATTAAACTCTGATTTTTGAATCACCAAGCCGATGCAAGTGCATATGAACCAAATTCTGTCATATCGAATTTCCGATGTATTTTTTTGTAGGCACAAACTATCACACCACTTTTAAACTACTTAAACAGCCGTGATGGAGATGTTAGACGTAAAGACGAAGAATCACGTCACAGGCAGTTTAGACAAGCTAATACATCTGCCATCAAAAAAGCATCAAAAGTTGACAAATCTGTACGAAATCATCCATCAACTAAACGACCTCACGATTCGAAACGTATTTCTTTTGATCGTATTTGTGGGATTTCGAACAAAGAAAACCCTCATCATCATAGCACAGAAGATTTGACAAAAGCCGATGCGAAGGTACAAAAAAACAAAAATCCAGAAAACTTAATCACATTGGATGCAAACGAATTTCCTGCTATGCAAAGTTCCAGTAAGTTCAAGTGTTGCTTTTGTTTTCTCAAACATTATCTGAAATTTCGTCTGATCGCAATAGTGAAATGGTTGCACTATTCATTAGAGAACAACCATCTCTATAACAGTTTTTGAGGCTATAAAGTTTAATAACGATGTTTATGTAATCACAATGTTTTTAGAAAATTCCTCACAAATGTAATGGTTTTATTAGGAAAAACCGTTAGAGAGGGATATAGCACGTAAGTTAATGAGGACGTTTTTTTAACGAAATGCAGTTCAGTTCAAATTACGGTCAAAGCGATTTAAGATTTAAGGAAGCCTAATACACTTTCATGCAAGTTTGTAATAGAAAACCGTAACATCTCTGTCAACTATTCTAAGCAATACCTGACATCTAAATTCCACCACATGATCCACGGAGTCTCACTCAGGTCATTGTGGACCAGCAGGCCAAACCAACTTTCATTCTACCGCGTCGTCAGTAAGTTAGTTACAGTGTATAACTTGGTACGTACATACATCAGTCAAGGTTACTACACCACATAAGCAACAGTGCAAGCATGTTCGGGATGCGATTCTCCCAATGAAACGCAAAATGATGCTTCAAGATTGGCTTGCATCAGCACCTGACAAGCAGTGAAGTAGTTGAGCATCTTGACCGCCTCACTTATCTCAGGAGTCTCATCAGTGCTAATTGCCTGGTGTGTGATGAAATCCTAGCACGGATACAAAAGGACCAACTGGCGTTCGCCAACTTGCGTCACTTATGGCGTAGACAAGATATCCGTCTACTAATCAATTGATGAGTTTACTGCGCAGCAGTTCGCTCTGTCCTAATTTACGGGTGTGAAATACGGCCAGTGAGAATAGACGATATTTTTAGGCTACTAATATTCGACCGTTCATTCAGTCAGTTACAATGTCGAAGTATTCGACCGTACTTGTCTTCGAAGCATTGCTTATGTATTCTGGTATCACTAAGCAAGCTATGCTGAGGTTAGGAATAGGGTAATGAGTAGGGATGGCAAGTCGATTGATGAAGTAGTGAATCTTTATCATCTGGGTGGCTGGGGCGTGTGTGTTACGTATTCCCAATCACCGACCACCTCGACGAGTGATGCTGTCTGGTGTAGGAGTAGGCTAAAAGAAATACGACAAACTCATGTAGTTTTTTTTGCTATAGTTTTGTACATACTTGACCTTTCAATACAAACACTGCTTCTCCATGAAAATAATAAAAGTTTATGAACTTTAAAAGGGACATGCTTTTCACTGTTAGTTCAAAGAACAAAATTGATTTTTTGAATTACAATATAGGTCAGCGTTCAAATAGGTCTGCAAATCAGTGTTCGGGTTGGCCATCATTTTGGGCATCAAATGTTTCAGACGCAACATCAGAAAAACTCAGCTCTTCAGCTTCTAGGAATTCAGCAGCCGGAGCGGACTCAAAACCATTATCTAGGATTCCGGATTCTAGTTCTGAAAATAGGATCAGAGGGAAATTTTCAGAATTAGAAGGACACAAGTCAGAATGTGTGACAAAAATAACTGCAAAAGAATCAGTTCCAAAATGTCAGAACGAGCAAACTCTGAACAGTCAAAGTGAAACAACACATAACGACCAGAACCCAACTCAGGGTAATGCTTTCCGAACGAAGAAAGGGAATTACTACTCAGCACGTACATCTACCTCTGTCAACCAAACACGGAAACATTCGGCGGTTCCGGTCAGAGGAAGACGGAATCTAGATACAAATATTCAGAACTATGATTCGGCCGGTTATCAGGTTGATGATCAAGAAAATGAATTTAGTCATGAACGATATAACAACTTTTCAAAGTTTGGGATTCGTGGACGTGACAATCGACGCGGTATCGTCTCCAGTCATGAGGTATATCACAATTCATCCCGCGATTCGTATCAGTGAGTCTTGTTTTATCCACTAGTTGATTATTGTTTGCTAAATATAAATGTTATGTCGATTGTTTAAAACTCATAGTTTAACTTTATTCCGGTGGCCTGATACATTTGCGGCTATAATTTTTTATGCATGTAGCTTTACTATATCTGTTTTGTATTCTCCGTGTTAAATCGACAAGGGTAAGTTTTTCAATATTACTTAGTACTTCCAGCTCGTACTACAGTATAGGTTAAAATGAAAAATAACTTCCTTAATTAAGCGTAGTTAGTGATTTGCTCATTTCATACGAAATTTCAATCAATCCCTTTTCAATGACTGTAAAAGGATTATTTTGACTAATGTGGTCCTTTATACCTAAAAGTCCATAACTGGGGCTTGTGAACAACCAGTGTAAATCTATGTAGAATGACACATAAATTTGGTTATTGTAGGTTTTATTTTACTTACCAATATCCTTTCAAACACGTTCATTAAGACTTTTGAACCAGCTATTTCAATCACAACAACTAAATTTTGTTATTTCGCGTCATGTGTTCCCCGACCGAAGCTGCTACCTTGACGTGGTGGTCGGGCTTGCCTATCGTGATGACCCAACCGAGCTATACTGGCTGGAACATATGTTCCTGTAGGTCCTACCATGCCAGGCTGGTCGATTGGAGAACGATGAGACTAAAAGCAGCTACCCAAGGTCTGAGGGCGAAGTCGTACTGCTGACTGCAGAGGGGTGTGACAGCAGTAAGGTGTTTCTCTCGGACAACCAGCATCTGCAGCGATGCTGCCTTCTCACAAGGAAGGAAGGGTTAGAAAAGGTCGGCCCTAAAAATGTCACACTCCCCCTAACTCACGGATTTCCGTCTCCTTGGGTAAGGGTGCCCACTAAGGGCCTTTAAGAACGGAGCTAATTCTCAAAATACCTTTCATAAAAAGGCCGTGCGTGACCGGCCTCAAGCAGTTGTCCCTTGGGCTCTGCGGTCACGCACCAACACTAATCCATCTTCCTTTTCAGGTCCCTCAAGAAACAACCTTCCACGGTGTGGGCAGCCGGGAAGTGACAACCGCCCTCATACCTGTTCCAGCACGCGAGGCCAAATTGGTCAAAATCAAATCCTTCCTACACCCCCTAATGTCTCTTTTATCTCTACAACTAACTCTACTCACACTCCCTTTTCTCACTGCACCGCTAATGCAGACGAAGCGAGATCACGAAACGTCATTCCTGGTCTCTTGAAACCCCGTTCTAGACTACATATTGGAGCTTTTAATGTACGGACATTGTGTCAAATAGGGCAACAGGCATCATTAGCTAGGACTTTAGAATCTCGTGCCATCGATGTATGCTGCGTCTCGGAAACGCGCATACAGGATCCTAGTAAAGTCATTAACCTGATTCCACCTTGTCAAAACGAAGAAGCAGCTCGATTTACTCTTCGTGTATCCGGTAGCCCTGATGCTACTTCCAGGGGTCTTGCTGGTGTAGGCATAGCGTTGAGTCCTAGGGCAGAATTATCTCTCCTAGACTGGATCCCAGTAGATAGTCGTTTGTGCGCTGTCCGACTAAACGGGACAGTAAGGACTCGGAAGGATAGGGACACTCGCCGTTGCCTCTTCGTCATATCTGCCTATGCCCCCACTGACTGCAGTGCAGACGAGGTTAAAGATGAGTTTTACAGAAAGCTTGCGGACCTCCTCCAAAAAGCTAAGCGCTCTGACATAGTAATAATGGCTGGTGACTTTAATGCTCAAGTAGGTAGGCTAGGTGAAACGGAAAGACATCTTGGTGGATGTTATGGTGTAGCGACTGAGAGAACAGACAATGGTGACCGTCTGTTGCAACTGTGCTCAGATAACCGCCTATTCTTAGCGAACACCAACTTTAGGCATAAGGAAAAGCATCTGTTGACCTGGCGACCTCCAAAGTCGTCTCAACGTTGGACTCAACTAGATCACATCGCCATCAGCCACCGATGGAGGGGCTCGATAGAAGACTGTCGCTCGTTCTGGAGCACATGTTTAGATTCAGATCATGCTCTAGTGCGAGCTCGTATCTGTTTAAGGCTTACTGGACGTAGGAAAGACACCGTAAGAAAGCCTCTTAGGGTTTTACTTAATGATAATCAAACCAAGAAAATATTTCAGGAGCAACTAGAAAGAGAGTTAAGCAACCATGCAAGCGATTCCCATCCAGAAGCAGGTTGGTGTGATATCAAAAAGGCTGTGGAAACAGCAGTGATATCTGCTAGGAAGGTAAACCATGAGACTAGGATGAAGCCGTGGATTTCAGTCGCATCCACCGAACTGATGGATGCTCGAAAACGCATCCCACCTGACTCTGAGCATGATGAAGAGCGTAGTCAGCTTAGGCGCAGACTTATAAAAAGTCTGCGTAACGACCGCGAACAGTGGTGGGTGGCGAAAGCAAAAGCGATGGAAAAGGCAGCGGCGATAGGCAACACTAGACAACTTTTCCGCCTTATCAAAGAAACCGGTATTAAGAACCCGAATGTGAGTGAGACTATCTCGGAAAAGGATGGTCTTATTATCCATTCTCAATCTAGGAGGCTGGATCGATGGGCAGAACACTTTAGGGATCAGTTCAACTGGCCACGAGCCACTCTTCAGTTACCCACGATCTCCAGTCATCCTGAATGGCAAATCGACGTAAGTCCCCCTAGTCTTAATGACGTTGAGAAAGCGTTAGGAAATCTGAAACGAGGACGAGCTGCAGGTCCTGATAGACTGACCCCTGAGATATTCAGGGATGGTGGTCCAGTTTTAGCAGCTAGATTGACTGAGATCTTAGGTAAAATCTGGGAACTGGACGTAATCCCATCCGACTGGTCTCAATCCTTGATTGTCCCAATCTATAAGAAAGGACAAAAGTCTTCTTGTGACAATCACAGAGGAATAAGTCTAACTAATATAGTATCTAAAATATTGGCCTCAATAATACTTCGACGCTTAACGAAAGCTCGTGAAGAGCAGACTCGAGAAAACCAGGCTGGTTTTCGACCTGGACGTGGCTGTATAGACCACGTCTTCACACTCAGACAGGTCCTGGAACATAGACACACATTTAGGCGTCCTACAATAGTTGTTTTCCTGGACCTTAAGGCGGCATTTGACTCTGTTGATCGTAAGGTTCTGTGGCAGTGTCTGTCATTGAAAGGTGTACCACAGAAGTACATTAACCTTATACAAGCTCTTTACTCGAACACCACTGGTCGGGTGAGGGCTTATGGCGAACTGTCACCGGAATTCTCTACATCAAGTGGTGTCCGTCAGGGATGTCCACTTTCTCCATTCTTGTTTAATTTTATCATAGACATGCTCCTAGAGTTAACATTATCCTCGTCTGAATTTTCAGGAGTAGACCTTCTTCCAGGTGGCTCGCTTATTGATTTAGAATATGCCGATGACATTGTCCTACTTGGTGAAGACGCTGACAAAATGCAGAGTCTTCTGACTACCCTAAGCAACAATGCAAGCATGTTCGGGATGCGGTTTTCCCCCTCGAAATGCAAAATGTTGCTTCAAGACTGGGTTGCATCGGCACCTGAACTAGTGATAGGGAGTGAAGTAGTCGAACGTGTAGACCGCTTCACTTATCTTGGGAGTCTCATCAGTGCCGATGGCCTGGTGACTGACGAAATCTCAGCTCGGATACAGAAGGCTCGATTGGCTTTTGCCAACCTGCGTCACTTATGGCGTAGGCGAGATATCCGTTTGCTGACTAAAGGACGAGTGTACTGCGCAGTAGTTCGCTCCGTCTTACTTTATGGCTGTGAAACATGGCCAGTGAGAGTAGAAGATATTCGTAGGTTACTGGTTTTCGATCATAGGTGTCTTCGAAGTATTGCTCGTATATCCTGGGACACCCGAGTGAGCAACGCTGTTATTAGGAATCGGGTGCTAGGTAAGAATGGCAGATCAATCGATGAAGTATTGAAACTTCACCAGTTGAGGTGGTTGGGACATGTGTTGCGTATGCCGAACCACCGGCTGCCTCGTCGAGCCTTGTTTTGTAGTGTGGGAATAGGTTGGAAGAAAGTTAGGGGCGGCCAAACCAAAACATGGCAGAAATCCATGAAGTCATTGACAAGTGGACTTAGCCATGTCGGTAATTGTCGACTACCTGGTTGGGGTCCGCGAGATGATAATAATCGATGGTTAGAGACCTTGAATGACATGGCTCAAAATCGTTCGCAATGGCGCCAGTGCATTTATTCTCTGTGTTCTCTCAAATCCTAATCTTCTGGATTAGCCAGCACCTCTACCTTTATCTTTCTAACCTTATTTCACTGAATTATATTTTTTGAATAATATCTTAAACCCTAGTCTTCTTTATTATAACATTAATACCTCTACCATCTTTATCACCGTGGGATTTGATTTGACATTTGCGTCTCTGTGCTAATAATGTGGTATGGCAACATGAACTTATGTACATACGTACGAAGTTCTACGTTGCAACTGACTGACTGACTGACTGCGTCATGTGTTCCTTGTGTGTATTCCACGTTGTACGGTTTAAAATAAAAGCTTGCGCAACTCCTATACGTGTGTAAATGTAGTTGGGGTGGTCTGGTATTAATAAATTATAATATGGATGGAGTAGAATTATAGGAATAATATTTTCGTCTTACTAATTACACATGAGCGTATTATGGTGGTCCTGCGGTAAACAAGGAGGCGTAAAATCCTCAAGGGAATTCAATAAATCGTCCGAGAAAAGGAGTCAATGTGTATAAGATGAGATATATAGTAATTAGTCAAGGTTGTCACAATGACGATGTGATTTATTTTTCTATAAAGAATTTAGAATTTAATTAAATGACCAAAACTACTTTAATGAGTTGAAAAAATATCTTGATGAATTTGGTTTCCTTAAATGACCATAAAATCAGCGAATCAATCAATTAGATAATCAAAATTAATTTAATCATCTCTGATGGCCAGAACAATCCAGACTCCAATTTTTCAGTTCATAAACTGTTGATTTGAACCTGGTTTCCTGCACTTACCCCTCAGGCGTAGACCAGTATTAATCACAATGAAGCAGATGCGATTACTCTGTCTTCTACGTATTTCATATTCCATTGCGCCTCATTTGTCCTCTTTTCGTTTTGCGTAATCATTTTTTTACCTAACTTTCCATTTTAGGAAAAAGTTTTTCTCTGTGCAGTTCCGTAACTTGATATTTTTAAAATACATTGTATTGCTTTCTTATTTGTTCTAAAAAGATGGTCAAACAACTAAGTGCAAATCTTAAATTACTACCAAAACCTTTCAAAAGAAAGCGACTTAAAGCTAGCTTATAAAAACAGAACATATTTTATAGTTTTATTTTAGTGATGCTCACAAGCCTCTGCAATCGAATACATCTATCGAGTTGACTACGTCCATTGCACTACACTGGTTTTGGGACTTTGTTAGTCAAGATTTAATTTACCCATATACGCCAATCATTAATGTATCAACTTCTAATTCAAAAAAATTAATATGTGTGTTAATGACTGATCTAATACTACTCAGCTATTCTTTCAAACACCACAACGCTCAACTAGTCCTCAAGGTCATAACACGGCTCGATCAGGTAGATAATTATATTCTGATAAGCCAAGGTGAATGCGAAAAAATCATAGTAATCAACCACCTCAAATGATGAAGTTTCAATGCTTCATCTATTGACCTATCTTCTATTCTCACTGGCCATGTTTCACAGCAACAAAGTAGGAGGGAGCAAACTACTGCGCAGTACACTCGTCTTTTAGTCAGCAAACGGATATCTCGCCTACGCCATAAGTGACACAAGTTGGCGAAAGCCAATCGAGCCTTCTATATCCGAGCTGAGATTTCGTCAGTCAGCCGAAATTGTTACGCCTGCACGTAAACACGTCATTTTGATATGCTTGAACTATTACGAGTTTACCTAGTCGGGAAACGAGGGCGGGGATCCGGCGACACGACATGCTACTCAAAACCGATTATCCCAACCCCTATATTGAGTAAAAATAAGAGGACGTGATATGAAGTAGAACCTGTATTCTACAAGCATCCAGAAAGTACGAGGTTCGAGTTCTGTAGAATCGGTCTATACGTTTGACTACTTCACTCCCTATCCCATAATAATATCACTGTCTAATATACTTTCTTCCTAGCATTTGACTAACTAGCAACTTTAAAAATTAATAGTAACAGTCAGCATTTGTCCTAATTTATAACTAGCTACTCTTATAATATGCCAAAAAGCTCATTATAAAAGGATGGTAAATTCACAATGTGTCCCTGATGTAGTAAGTTAATATGTTCCAATTCTAATCTGTTCATAAAATTTCAATCCTTTATCTTTTAGGGGGTCTCAACAAATCTCCAAAGAAACTGTTAATCGTGGTTATGACTATAGAGATGGAGACTCCGTTAGAAGTGATTACTATTCTGATCAACATAATGGCAATGCCCGATTTTCTGGAACTTCTCGGAACTCGAGTTTGTCAAGCAAAGGTCGACTTAATTCAGTTAGCACTGGCAGCTATCGCCGTCCTGGTAATTATGCTTCTCGTGGTCGTGGTTCTGGTTATTAATTGATGGATATTATCGTTTGTACATATTAAGTTTTCTGATTGACTGTGTTTCTTCAGTAACTTACCCAGAGCTTTTATCAACTGGTTTAAGACATACAGTCATAATAATGACAGTAATCAATAATTGTGACTCGAAATTTTCAACCACCAACAAGTTAAATGGTACCAACAGCAAAGATCGCGACATCTACGTTTTTCATTTATTTGTTTGACGTTTGCAAAGTCTCAAGACAACTCGAATTTTTTTGAATAATCCACTTGCTTTATTTGTTCTGAATAATATTTTCATGAATAAGCGAGTGTATTTAGATATTTTGCTGATGAAAGTTCGAGACAGCTTGTTTTATTCATAGCATTCATTTATTCGGATTAATCACCATTAACGTTTACTTATGAACGCTTTTTACCAAGAAAGTGTCTTTGTATTTTAGTCCATCGCTGTACAGTGTACAGAAATATCAACTAACGAGAAAAAATACATCAATTATGTGGTCGCAATTGCTCTGTGATTGAAATTCTAGACTTAGTAAAGTCAGATTTAGCGAAAACAGCAAGTTGAAACTTTTCTGCGATTACGTTGCACATTAATTGCTTACTTACTCCTGTTACCTTCAATGGAGCATAGGCCACCGACCGATATTCTTTAACCTACTCTGTCTTCGGCTCCCCCTTTCCAGTTCTGTTCAATTTTTGTTCATTCTCCTCATATCTTTCTCTATTTCTCGGCGTAACGTGTTTATCGGCCCTCCTCTTTTCCTTCGACCTAGAGGATTCCAAGTGAGGGCTTATCTTGTGACGCAGTTGGGTGCCTTCCGCAATGTATGTCCAATCCACTTCCACTGCGCCTTCCTGATTTCCTCCTCCGCTGGAATCTGGTTTGTTCTCTCCCACAGTGGGTTGTTGCCGACGGTCTGGCTAACGGATCCGAAGTATTTTTCGCGGACAACTGTTAATAAATCCTTGTATCTTTTGGATGATGACTTACTTAGTTCTTTGAAATTCCGCTGCATACAGTAGGACAGTCTTGACAGTTGTATTGAAAATTCTGATTTTGATGTTTGTTGACAGTTGTTTTGAGTTCCAGATGTTGTTCAATTGTAGGGATGCAGCCGTTGCTTTGCCTATCCGCGCCTTCACATCTGCACCAGGTCCACCGTGCTCGTCAATGGCGCTGCCCAGATATGTAAAGGTTTTAACGTCCTCCAAGGCATCTGCATCAAGAGGGATTTGTTTGGTGCATGTTTTGTATCGGAGAATCTTGCTTTTCCCTTTATGTATGTTGAGACGTGCTGCTGCTGAAGATGCTGCTACCCCTGGTCGTCTTCTCTTGCATTTGTTGTTGCTCGTGCGATAGAAGAGCCAAATTGTATGCGAAGTTCAGATCGTCCAGCTGCATCCTGTCTGTCCACTGTATACCGTGCTTCCCTCCAGATGTTGACGTCTTCATAATCCAGCTGATCACCAGGACAAAGCAACCTCGCCTGACACCGGTCTTCACCCCGAGTTTTAGCTGTCCTCCGTGCACGATTTTGAAGTTCAATCCACCATTTGAATTCCGTATGATGTTGACTACCTCAGACACACCGCAGTGTCCAAGAAGCTTCCATAGTGATGTCCTGTCCTCGCGATCAAATGCTTTCTCGTAGTAAATCAAGTTGATGTAGAGTGGTGAGTTACATTCGATGAGTGTTCCACAATGATCCCTAATGTCTCACTTTGGTTGATACACGATCGATCCAGCTTGTTGATCTTGAAGTTGGGCGTCTACAAAGTCCTTCATTATGTTTAAAAACACCCTATTGAAGACTTTGCCTGGTGTTCGGAGGAGAGTGATGCCTCCGTAGTTCTCATACTTGTTGAAATCGACTTTCTTTGGTATTTTGATCAGGCTTCGTTCTTTCCAGTTTGTGGTACTTGTTCCTCCTAAATATTGTTGAGGAGAATGTGGAGTATTTTTGCAGTTGCTACTACGTTTGCTTTTATTGCATCTGCTGGAATGTTGTTTGGTCCCGCTGCTTTGCCGCTCTCGATTTGTCTGATGGCCGTGCTCTCTTCAATTGCAGGTGAGCTAACCTTTATTAGGAGGTATGTGGATGCTGCTTCGATGTTGGGTGTCTTCAGTGGTGCTTGTCACATTGCACATGCATTGTACGTATTATTTATCCACTGCGTAGCAAATAGTTAATAGGTTACCGTATTCGAACAATAATTATAAATCTAACTCAAAACTATTCTGTGCTGCTTAGAATAATACGCATTTTAATTTGATTTAGTAATATTTCCTTTAGCGTTTAAATGTATATGGCCTTAAGTAATCATTTCAAATCGCACAAGCAAACAGCAATTATCACAAAGCTTCCTCTTCACACTAAACCTTCACATTCACATGCTCGTTGCCATTTGTAGAGAATGTGATGCAGGTTGGAAAAAGTTAGTCGAGCTTTCTATATCCGTGCTGAGTTCTCGTCAGTCACTAGGACGTCAGTAATGATGAGACTTACGCGATGAGTGAAGCAGTCTACACGTTCGACTACTTCAATCCCTATCACTAGTTCAGGTGCCGATGAAACCCAGTCTTGAAGCAACATTTCGCATTTCGACGGGGAAAACCGCATCCCGAACATGCTTGCATTGTTGCTTAGGGTGGTCAGAAGACTGCATTTTGTCAGCGTCTTCACCAAGTAGGACTATTTCATCGGCATATTCTAGGTCAGTAAGCGATATTCCTGGTAAAAAGTCGACTCCTAAAAAATCGGACAAGGATAAGGTTATATCTAGGAGCATGTCTATGACAAAATTAAACAAGAATGGAGAGAGTGGACATCCCTGACGCACACCACTTGAACTAGAGAATTCAGATGACAGTTCTCCATAAGCTCTCACTCGACCAGTGATGTTGGAGTGGAGAGCTCGTATAAGGTTAATGTACTTCTTTGGAACATCTTCCAATGAAAAACACTGCCACAGAACCTCACGATCAACAGAATCGGATGCCGCCTTAAGGTCCAAGGAGACTACTATTGTAGGACGCCAAAATGTGTCTGTGTACCAGGACCTGTCGTAGTGTGAATATGGGGTCTATACAGCCACGTCCAGATCGAAAACCAGCCTGGTTTTCTCTAGTCTGCTCTTCGCGAGCACTAGTTAGGCGTCTAAGTATAATCGAGTCTAACAATTTAGTGTGGCTGAAGGCCAGTTGAATTGATCTCTGAAGTGTTCTGCTCATAGATCCAATCTCCTGGGTTGGGAATATGTAATAGTCCCATCCTTTTCCGAAATAGTCTCACGTACGATAAGATTCCTAATACCAGTTTCCTTGATTAGTCGGAAAAGTTGTCTACTGTTACCTATCGCCGCTGCCCTTTCCATCGCTTTTGCTTTCGCCACCCACCACTGTTCACGGTTCTTGCGTAGGCTTTTTATCAGCCTGCGTCTAAGCTGACTTCGTTCTTCATCATGTTCAGAGCCAGGTGGGATGAGTTTTCGAGCATCAGTCAGTTCGGTGGATGCTACTGAGATCCACGGCCTCATTCTAGCCTTATGGTTTACCTTACTAGCGGATATCACTGCTGTTTCCACAGCCTTTCTGATATCATTCCAACCTGCCTCTGGATGGGAATCGCTTACATGGTCGCCTAACTGTCGTTCTAGTTTCTCCTGAAATATATTCTTACCTATGCTATCATTAGGTAGAACCCTAAGAGGTTTCCTCGCGGTGTCTTTCCTACGTCCAGCAAGACGAAAACAGATACGCGTTCACACTATGGTATGATCTGAATCTAAACATGTGCCCCAGAACGAGCGACAGTCCTCTATCAAACCCCTCCATCGGTGGCTGATGTGATTTGGTTGGGTCCAAGGTTGAGACGATTTCGGGGGTCGCCAGGTCAACAGATGTTTTTCCTTATGCCTCAAGTTAGTGTTTGCTAGAAATAGGCGGATATCTGAGCATAGCTGCAATAGACAGTCGCCATTGTCTGTTCTTTTGAGCCGCGACACCATAACATCCACCTAGGTGTCTTTCCTGCTCACTTAGTCTATCTACTTGAGCATTAACGTCACCAGCCATTATGACTATATCAGAGCGCCTAGCTTTTTGGAGGAGTTCCGAAAGCTTCCTGTAAAACTCATCTTTCACCTCGTCTAAACTGCAGTCAGTGGGGGCATAGGCAGATACGACGAAGAGGCAACGACGGGTGTCCCTATATTTCTGAGTCCATACTGTCCCGTTCAGTCGGACAGCGCACATGCGACTATTTACAGGGATCCAGTCTAAGAGAGATAGTTCAGCCCTACGACTCAATGCTATTCCTACACCAGCGAGACCCCGGGAAGCAGCATCAGGGCTACCGGATACATGAAGAGTAAATCGGTCTGCTTCTTTATTCTGACAAGGTGAAATCAAATTAATGATTTTACTAGGATCCTGCATGCGCGTTTCCGAGACGCAGCATACATCGATTGAGCGAGATTCTAATGTCCAAGCTAACGAAGCCTGTTGCCCTTTTTGACATGATGTCCGTTCATTAAAAGCTCCAACATGTAGTCTGGAACGGGGTTTAAGGAGACCAGGAATGACGTTTCGTGAACTCGCATCGTTTGCATTAGCGTTGCAGAGAGATGAAGGAATGTTAGTAGAGTTAGTCGTAGGGATATGAGGGATATTAGTGGGTGTAAGAAGGATTTGATTTTGACCAATTTGATCTCGTGTGCCTTTACGTTTATGAGGGAGGTTGTCACTTCCCTGTTGCCCACACTGTGTAAGGTAGTTTCTTGAGGGACCTGAAAAGGAAGATTAGTGTTGGTCTGAGAGACCTTGGAGCATGACTACAGAGTCCAAGGGACAACTGCTTGAGGCCGGTCACGCACGCCTTTTTTATGAAAGGTTTTGAGTATTAGATCCTTGAGTAGGTGCTTTTAGTCTCATAGTTCTCCAATCGACCTGCCTGGCATGGTAGAACCTTCAGGAACATATGTTTCAACAAATATAGCTCGGTTGGATTATCACGATTGGCAAGACCGACCACCACGTCACGGCAGCAGCTATGGTTGGGAACTAGCTCTCGTATTCAAGTCAGACAAGAAAACCACTTCTCGAATTTGAAATAAATTATGCACCAACTAAAGTAACATATCTGTATAAGAGCTGAATTAGGTGTATTATTGAACTGCTTTCGTACAAAAATACAATTCTAGCATACTTTGTGCCGTTACTATATGAAATACTTTAGTTATCTACATTTATAATGAGATTCAAGAAAGTAGTTACCTCATTCAGGAGGTATTGCATTCAATTTTTGATTAAAGGTAATTGTTTTCAGTGAGTGGAAAAAAAGACTAATTTACAAATTACAAATCTGTATGAATAACTGAATTGTTTTTAAATAATCACTTACATTTACAGAACTGAAATTAAAGCTTTCTTACCAAATAAAAAGGTTTTAAATAATGAATAAGGAGACTGAAATACATTTTTTACATATTTTCAAGCATTAAATTTTTTTTCATGTTCATGATTTCTGATTGTTTGAATGTTATGCTTAAGAAGCTACATGATAGAACAAGTCCATTGTTCAGAACTTAATGACCCAACCACCAAATTTTCAGCTGTTCCATCAAATAAATATTCATCCCCACTACCGAGATCTGCTTCATTCAGATTAAGAACAACAAGACGCTCTTGTAGACAGGACTCATTTACAGGTTTCCAGCGATCAGGGTAACTAGATTTCCAATGTTTGGTGAAGGCAGTTTCGTTAGTAAGAATAATTGGTGTAGAACAACTAGAATTATCCAGAGATGCGTGGTGTGAATCCAAAATTAGTGAACAGTTAACAGGGTTTTTACTAAGAAAAACAGTTTTTTCATCCAAAAGTCTAGGACTTATTTTCGCAACCTATAATTTAAAAAAAACAATTTGAGTGCACAAGCTGTTACAAGTAAATACATTAAATGATTGAAACTGCTTTCCAAACAATACATAGTTACGATGATTATTCCAACACTATAAATTTCCAAAATTAAACAATTCAGTTACAAGACATTCAGTCAGTCAGTCAGTCAGTTGCAACGTAGAACTTCGTACGTATGTACATAAGTTCATGTTGCCATACCACATTATTAGCACAGAGACGCAAATGTCAAATCAAATCCCATGGTGATAAAGATGGTAGAGGTATTAATGTTATAATAAAGAAGACTAGGGTTTAAGATATTATTCAAAAAATATAATTCAGTGAGATAAGGTTAGAAAGACAAAGGTAGAGGTATTGACGAATCCAGAAGATTAGGATTTGAGAGAGCTCAAAGAGTGGATGCACCTGCGCCATTGCAAACGATTTTGAGCCATGTCGTTCAAGGTCTCTAACCATTGATGACTTTCATCTCGCGGACCCCAACCAGGTAGTCTACATCTACCAACATGACTCAGTCCACTTGTCAATGACTTCATGGATTTCTGCCATGTTTTGGTCTGGCCGCCCCTAGCTTTCTTCCAACCTACTCCTACACCACAAAACATAGCTCGTCGAGGCAGTCGGTGGTTAGGCATACGTAACACATGTCCCAACCACCTCAACTGATGAAGTTTCACCACTTCATCGATTGATCTGCCATCTTTACCTAGTACTCGTTTCCTAACGACAGCATTGCTTACTCGGCTGTCCCACGATATACAAGCAATGCTTCTTAAACAAGACATTCAAACAATTCAAATCGTTTTCTTAACGGCGAACTTGGATCTCATGTGTCTGTACTGTTTTTTGAAGTAGCGAATATTTCTATTAACACATAAACTAAGTTCCAAACCCTATCTATAAGCCAAGAAAAGTACCTGTCACCAATCTATTCTAGGTATCCATCCACATTGTATATTTACAGCAGAATTAACTGCAGAACAAGTAGAAAGAATAAATGCTACAAGAGTGGCCTTACACAATGTCGTACGTGTTCAGATGTGCTAAACCTTTGAACTCTGTATTAGTGATCGACTGTTATGATAACACCTACACTAGTACACAATGTGAGGAAGTGCATATGATCGTGCATGTTTATCAGCTTATGTGCTAACTTCATTGATCGATTAAACACTGATTATTCAAAAACGTGTAGTTACCAAACAATATCTAATGATTCGGTTGCTTTACACTGAACATTGTAAATGAGCTGATCTTAATAAACTTCGTCTCAAACTTTGAATCGCCCGAACTGTTAGTGGATTCACGTGTTAACGGCTATTTAGTCAAAGCCCATACGAAGTTAAAAATAGGAACGCAACACTGTTACCAAGTCATTCAAAGCGAAACCTTGCAATTCAATGAAAAGAAGTCATAGAGAATGATTAGAAATCAAATTTCAGTAATCTTCTTCCATACAGAACTGTTTACTGCACCTCGTTCACTTGGCAGTTAATACGATACATTTTTGTTATTGATAGTAATAATCATAAATACCCACCAATTTATCACATCAAAAACTTTATTTAAAACTAACTAAGACTAGGATAACTGAAAAGTTATTGTATGAGAGTACTGAAAAGAGTGGAAGTATTGCTTATACACCATAAATAACCAAAGTAGTTAGAATTTCAATGATTGATTTAATTCGATTTCGACAAATAGATAGTATCACTTCGTAAAGTGTGAATGCAAGAGAAAGAAAGCTATTGGAAAAAAGAAAAGGCAATTACAAATGGCTTACTGTAGGTGTGGTATGACAGTCTTGTTTTAACTTTAATTGCTGCCATTCTTTCGAAAATTCGTATTTATCACTTATTGATGAGACAACTGAACTATTTACTTCCAATTTTTGAATTTTATGTTTCTCATTTATTATGTTATCTTCAACTAATGCAGCACTGAAAGGTGCTGAAATCACTGATACAATATTTTCCTCATCAGGGGTTTGGAACATGTTTCCCAAAACTTCTCTAGAATCAAAGAAATAGCTGTAGAATAGAGTGATAAATATGGTGTAAATTGTAATAAAGAAGTGCCTATTACATGATACGATATGAGATTTTGAAACGGAATACTATTAACTGCAATTGGATCAATGTGAGTGAATCCCAACAGTTAACAAGATAACTAAAAATTGGTGAAAAATCTAATTGGCATGGAATAGTCTTATTGAATTTTGATAAGTCACAAAAACATGTGATATGTAACACAGGGTTTCATAGCTTTTCACTGAAATATAGAAGTCAGTAAGTCATATATTTGCACTAGCCCAAGTTAAAAAACATCAGTAAAACACGATGGAATGTTATTGTGAATAGCTAACTTACCCTGTTACAATTCGTGAAGAATAGGTCACCGACAAACATTATCCAACCAACTCTGTCCTGGGCCTTGCTTTCTAGTTCTACCTAATCCCTAATCATTTTTTTATATCTGCCTCCAATTCTCGGCGGAGTTTGTTCGTTGGTCTAAATTTTTTCCTTTGAACCTGAGGGTTTCAATTTGGGGCTTGATGCAGGTGGGAGGTATCTGTAATGTGTATCCTATGAATCTCGTGTTTCTTATTCGGAATCTTGTTCGTTCTTTTCAACAGAAGGTTGCTGGTCAACGAATATTGACATTGCGCAGACATCTACAGTCACCTATATCATTTTGACGATGGCCTTCGTAAATTCCCAAGTTTCCACTTCATACGTTTGTATTGAAAATTCTGACTTTGCTACTGGCTGACAGTTACTTTGAGTCCTAAATGTGCTTCATTTGTTGGAATGTTTCTCTTGCTCTGCTAATGCCTGCCTCCACATCCGTGCCAGGTCCCTCTTGTTTACTATTAATGCTGATCAGGAGAATAAACCTTTCCACCTCTCCCAGAGCTTCTCCAACAACCGTAATTCGGTGGGTGCTTGTTTCGTACTTCACGATCCTCCTTTTTCCCTCGTATATATCCAGGCATACTGCTGCAGACGTTGCTGCTACACTGGCAATCTCCATCTGCATTTGTTGCTGTGTGTGGGACAGAAGATCTGGATCATCTGTGAAGTTTAGATAGTTTAGCTGCATCTATAGGAAGGTCTGTTTGTGTTACTTCATTGCTGGGTGGCCTCAGTGGGGTTGGTCATTCGATAGTTATGCAGTGTTCAATTCACCTGTCCTGTTATTCTTGAACGTCGGCGATTAGGTTACTATTTTGTTCTTGACTGCTTGTTTTGGTTTACCATATTTCCCAGCAAGATTCCTCGTTGTATTTTACAGTTGTCTTATGTTTTATCCTCTTGAATCTTTTCCACTGTCATATATCCATCTATCTTAAATGCTTTTCTTAACTTGCTTATTTGCTCTGTGCCTTGGCTTTTACTACATTTGTTCGGTTATTGTTGATTAAGATATGATCCAGGTTATCAACAGAGATCGATTCTTCATGGTACTTCTTATGGTCCAGTACCTCCTAACATATTAAAGTTAAGTATTACTAGAATCCTTTCCAGTTGTTCTCCATGATAGTGTGATCTAGTAAAAGCCGAATAGTTTGTTGGGCGTTCATCGACGATCGACTGCAATCTCTCGTAGAAGTAGTCTTTATCGTTTTTATTCTGATCGTCGGTAGGCGCATAGCACTGAATGACGTCCATTCTAATCTCCTTTCCCTTTGTTTTGAAGGTCCTGTTTCCATGACATTCCCATTCCCTAATTCTTTTTTTGGCTGCTTCCGACAATATCAGTGCAACACCTTGTGTGTGTGAGGCATTTTCTTCGTGATGGCCAGATTACAACAGTATCTTTCTTGAAGCTCGTTTTTTTCTTTAGTTTGCATTTGATGTGTTTTGTTTCTGCCAAGCAGCAACTTGAACGATAACGAGCGGACATCCCATGTACCAATGTTATAAATGGGAAAGGAGTTGTACTAACTGTAGTAGAAATGATGATGAGAAAGACCAAACAGTGAGAATATGGTTTGCAAAGACGGAATGGAAAGGGATACCGGAACTTAAGATAAAACAAGATGGATAAATAGGGACTTGATGCAAATAAAAAACGTATAAATTTTGAAGCATGGATGCACATCACTGGTCAAGAAAGAGGTTTATTTCAGGAGAGGGTGGAGAATATATATATATGATTCGGTGGCCAAATAGACATTATTTTTCAATCCTTTCTTCTCGCTCAAGCAGGCAGTTTTGGGTATTAGCAAGTGCCGCGTCCAGATCTCCGACGCCCAACATCATAACAGAATTAAACACGACAAATTATATTTCAGTAGATAAAATGGATACAATAACAGAAAACTTCATCAAATCATTTGTTAGCACAGATCGAGGAGCTCAGCGTGGATAAATGACAGAAGTAAACTGTATACATCTATTAGTAAATATACACTGATAGCCGTGAAAGTTAAAGTAAGCTGATTATTCAACAAAAGTCAGGTTATGGAAATAAACAAAAATATACTTACTGTATGTAGGGTTCACAAGACTTCAAAAAGTGATAGTACTGAGGGAAAGTTTCATATGACAACTGTTTTATTTCTGACAGACCGGATATCAGCTTTTTTAAGCAAAAGCTAGTAACAGTTACATCCTGTTGCATTTCAGGGTAATCTGAGAACATTGTCCAGTTGACAGCCATACTAAGTGAACGTAAGAAGGCATCTTTATCCAGACAAAGCAAACTAATAAGACAGGTCCATTCTTTTGAGTGAGCTAAGGTTACCTGGTCCAACAAATATCGCAATTGACAGAAAGTCTCTTTGTCAAAAATCCTGGATAGTAGAAAGACAATTAAAAAGCTTTATACAAACCCGATGAAGCAAAAGGATTCTGAGCAAAAACAGATTATAGTCAGAATACCTATGCATACACAAGTGCAGATCAGTCAGAAAAACGAGTATAACGGGATTTGTTACCGATGGCTATATGAGTAATTTTTATCATACAGAAAAATAAAGGCTGTTGTAGAACCTAAAATTATCATACATTTGTCACAATAATATGATGCTGATGATAAATTATAAGGGAGTTCGTCGAGTTGAGATAGAATTTACGGGTATTGAAGAAGCCAAATCGGTCAAAATCAAATCCTTCCTACACCTAATACTTCTCTTATCTCCTCGACTAAGTCTTCTTACATTCCTTTATCACACTGCACAGCTAGTGCAAACAATTCGAGTTCAAGAAACGTCATTCCCTGTCTCCTGAAACCGCGTTCTAAACTACATATTGGAGCTTTATTGCATGGAAATTGTGTCTAATGGAAAAACATGCTTCCTTAGCTAGAACTCTAGAATATCGCTCAATCGATGTATGCTTCATCTCAGAAACGCGAGTACAGGATCCTAGTAAAATCAATAATTTGATTTCACCTTATCAAAACAAAGACGCAGCCCGATTTACTCTTCGTGCATCTGGAAACCTGATGCTGCTTCCCGAGGTCTAGCTGGTATTGGTTAAGCATTGTGTCGCAGGGCAGCACTAGCGCACGAAGACTGGATCGCTTGTGCGTTGTCGGACTAAACGGAACAGTAAGGACTCAGGATGATAGAGACAACGGCCTTGCCTCTTCGTCGTATCTAACTTTAGGCGTAAGGAAAAACATTTGTTGACCTGATCTGAGGACTGTCACTCGTTCTGGGGCACATGTTTAGATTCAGATCATACCATAGTGCGAACGCGTATCTGTTTTCGTCTTGCTGGACGTAGGAAAGACACCGCGAGGAAACCTCTTAGGGTTCTACCTAATGATAGCATAGGTAAGAATATATTTCAGGAGAAACTAGAACGACAGTTAGGCGACCATGTAAGCGATTCCCATCCAGAGGCAGGTTGGAATGATATCAGAAAGGCTGTGGAAACAGCAGTGATATCCGCTAGTAAGGTAAACCATAAGGCTAGAATGAGGCCGTGGATCTCAGTAGCATCCACCGAACTGACTGATGCTCGAAAACTCATCCCACCTGGCTCTGAACATGATGAAGAACGAAGTCAGCTTAGACGCAGGCTGATAAAAAGCCTACGCAAGAACCGTGAACAGTGGTGGGTGGCGAAAGCAAAAGCGATGGAAAGGGCAGCGGCGATAGGTAACAGTAGACAACTTTTCCGACTAATCAAGGAAACTGGTATTAGGAATCTTATCGTACGTGAGACTATTTCGGAAAAGGATGGGACTATTACATATTCCCAACCCAGGAGATTGGATCTATGAGCAGAACACTTCAGAGATCAATTCAACTGGCCTTCAGCCACACTAAATTGTTAGACTCGATTATACTTAGACGCCTAACTAGTGCTCGCGAAGAGCAGACTAGAGAAAACCAGGCTGGTTTTCGATCTGGACGTGGCTGTATAGACCCCATATTCACACTACGACAGGTCCTGGTACACAGACACATTTTGGCGTCCTACAATAGTAGTCTCCTTGGACCTTAAGGCGGCATCCGATTCTGTTGATCGTGAGGTTCTGTGGCAGTGTTTTTCATTGGAAGATGTTCCAAAGAAGTACATTAACCTTATACGAGCTCTCCACTCCAACATCACTGGTCGAGTGAGAGCTTATGGAGAACTGTCATCTGAATTCTCTAGTTCAAGTGGTGTGCGTCAGGGATGTCCACTCTCTCCATTCTTGTTTAATTTTGTCATAGACATGCTCCTAGATATAACCTTATCCTCGTCCGATTTTTTAGGAGTCGACTTTTTACCAGGAATATCGCTTACTGACCTAGAATATGCCGATGAAATAGTCCTACTTGGTGAAGACGCTGACAAAATGCAGTCTTCTGACCACCCTAAGCAACAATGCAAGCATGTTCGGGATGCGGTTTTCCCCGTCGAAATGCGAAATGTTGCTTCAAGACTGGGTTTCATCGGCACCTGAACTAGTGATAGGGAGTGAAGTAGTCGAACGTGTAGACCGCGAGACGAATGTCACCAATGGTTAGAGACTTTTAACGACATGGCTCAGAATCGTTTGCAATGGCGCAGGTGCATTCACTCTTTGTGTTCTCTCTAATCTTAACCTTCCGAATTCGTCGTAATCTCTATCTTTCTCCTTCTAAATTTATCTCACTGAATTAAATTTCTCGAATCGTATCTTCGCCACCTATTCCTCTCCATTACTGCTAATACTTCTACTATCAATATCAATCTTGGATTTCAACTGACAGTTGCGTCTCTGTGCTGATGTGGTATGGCGACATGAACTGATGTACTTATGTACGAAGTTCTGCGTTGTATCTGTCTGGTATTGACCGACAAATACATTGAACATTAGAGATGGTTTGGTAAATCCTCTCGTCATTGCCATTCAAGCGGACGGTGTTAAATGATGTGACGAGATGCTTTCACTTGAACAAAAGTGATTGCACCTGGTTTGCAATAGGTGTTCATTAGCTTACATAAAAATTTATTAGTGACCCAATCAAATTGCTTATGTAATTATGTAACAATTTCTCCATTTAGTCCGTTACCACAACTGTTTCATTTTATTAAAATCTGTTTTAACTTGTGATAGGTTAATAAACATTCGTTGTTCGTATGAAAAATCTCATTTATTCCTAGTTAGTTTATAAGTAATTCGGCTTATTATTATATTTAATGTGCTAGAACTTGCCCTAATTTTTTAAGTACTGAGTAATGAATTCAACTTTGATGTGGAATTATGATTGTCGAAAGCTTTGACGATTTATTGATAAGTAACCACTTAAAAATAACTTTCTTGTCCTTCGATTTTAAGAGGCTTGGTAATATCAGATTGTTTGTGGTTGCTATTTACCATATCCTGATGCCTATAACGAAGTCACTTTTGTGATTATCTTCACGCACTACCAGTTTTTAGGTGTTTATATATCGTAAGAACAACTATTAAAAATGAAAATAACAAGAAGTGAATACTTTAGTTATAGGAATATAAGTAGGGTTGTTAACTCAATACTTACGACAGAGAGTCAAAGTTAGGGGAAGATGCTGAAAAGGTAGTATTATTAGTCTGCATGAAGTTAGACGAATTTAGCAAAGGTTCATCCAGAGAAGTCGAGTAACTGTATATTCCTTCACTAGAATTAGAATCAGCCATAAAATTGAATTCTTCTAATAAATTTATGAAAACTTGGCGCCAGTTAGGTATAGGTTGGATATCATGCCTGTAATAAAGAGATAAAATTAACCGTGATTTTGGACAAAACAGGTTGAATTCTCATGGAATTTATATCAATACCAGTACATTAATTATAAAACAAATTATGAACTGGCGAAATTACAAATTTTTCTTACATCCTAGATTTTACTAAACGGTGACTTCCTTTTAAATTATTGAGAACATCGTAGATAGGTGAAGAAGTAAGAGTATAAATAAACGAGATAAAAGGACATTTGCTTTAGTAGGTATATTTTTTCTGATTATAAGAGGAATTTGTGAGACGGACGAATGTGGATGAGTCTCACGTAAAAGTAAATTTGTTAGATTTTTAAAAAATTTATAACACAACACAGGAAACCAACGAAATAAATAAATAAAGAGAGAAAGTACATGAACAGAGGCTGTAACAAGCGCATAGGAAAAAATAAGATTTTAAGATTACACTAAATGACAAAATTACTTTATTTACCAACAACGGATAACTTACAAATTTTTATTTAACCACATCTGCAAAACGTTTGAGTGACCAGAACAATAATCATCGTTAAAAATCTCAGGAATATTTGTGACCAACTGAGATGCACGTTTAAGATAACCTTGAGAAAAATAATCAACAGCCACCTTAGACAAGAGTTCTGCAAGCTGAGTTCGAAGAGTGGAAGATGGTTTTTGAACATCACCAACTGATGAATCAGACGATATCTTGATGTTATCAGTCAATTCTTTAATTCGGTTATCTGTAAAGTCCAGAAATTTGACAGAAACTCTTGTAGGTCGATATTTTGACATTCCACAATACCAGATGATCTTGTTGATAGATTTCTCAGGACTGGTTTCTGACCGCATATGATCATTATCAGGATTCGGTAAGTTGTTTAAATGACTACATGAGTTGAAGAACATAATTTGGGATTTTTCAAAGTCTTGTCTTACTCTATGTTCATTACCTGAATAATATTCAGTGGGATCTAGACAGTTAAAATGAACATGTATATACTGGATTAGATATGAATAACAACTACTTTGCTTGATATTATATGTTTCAGTATAGTAAAAATATTCAATATAACTGTCTAGTATACGGTTTACTAGTCAGTACTCAAAAGTACTAAGTGTGTAATCAGTGATTATTTTCCATTCATCTTCATGAGCAAAAATGTTTTCATCCCTCTTAACTTAGAAGATGCTTTTCTCTGCATAAATTTTGTGATAAATTCTTCATTTCAGTGATTCACCTTAAATTGGACATTAATCAGCTTCTAGCTCGATCATTTTCCTATTATAAAAAGGAATGAGTACACGCAATTAAGGCACCCACTTTGTAAAAAAAAGCATAAAACAAGAAGATTTATAGCAATATTTGCACAGATAGAAAATACAGGTCGGATCGAAGTTCGAATTGACATCACAAATGAATTAAAATGTCATAAATAGGATTTTTTTAAATTACTCAGCAATTAACGTTCTCGCGAACAATTTATAATATATTAAGACCTTATTGACCGATAATTCATTACGCAGTCACTCAAGCACTTCTGTAGTATAAATGGATTAACGAACATACTATCACCACCATATCACTCTCAACCGAATGGACAGGCATAAAGCAATATCAACACAGTTAAACGACAATTACTAAATAGAGAGGTAAGGGGACACTTGGTCAGGTAATCACAGAGTTTTCAACTACTCGCAGAACTACTCACAACCCGTGTTTCAGATGGAAAGTCACGTTCTGAAGTAAGAAGCATTCGTACAGCCTTCAACGCGATGTTGCCACCTGAAACACTGCAAGATCACAGACAAAAACAGTACAACAGAAAAATCAACGTGGGTGATAAAGTGGTTGTCAAACCATGAGAAGAATCGAAGGAAACGCGGGATTATTGAGAAAAGACTTAGCGAGATTTTGTAAAAAGCATGTGTCGCGTTTGGAACGTAGATCAGATATCAACACAACTAACAAAGACAAAAGGGAAATGATGAATATAGATAAGTAAAGGAATCTGCTACTAAGGATAATAAATGTTACTCAAATGATCGGAAACTACAAGAATGCTACAAAGAAAAGAGAGAGGAAAGTGCGAATAAAGAAAACATTAAAAAAGTTGGAACGACTACGCGAATAAGTAGTCAAGCTATGAGTAGATATAAGGAAGGTTTCATATATTTAAAAAAAAGAAACGTGTTGGGCAGTAGTTCTATGGATTTGTGCCATGTTTTTGCTTACTTGTTTGGTTCTGTGTATTCAGTATGTACCTTGACTTTCTTTGTTCTTCTTTGGCTGATATTGATTGCTATCCTCTTGTTCTTTCTTTCGTGAATTTATCCAGTGCATCAACAGTGATCCGTTCCTTGTGATGGTGCTTCTTGTGGCCCAGGACCTCCTTGATCCCTTTTTAATTGTTCACCATAGTAGTTTTCTCTCAATTGAGTAGATCGTGAAAAGCCTGGAACATACTGCTGAGGGCTACCTTGGATTCTAAATGAAGATTTTTCAACTCGTAGTGCAAGTTTCATTAGTATGAATGGTTGTTTTGACTGGCGATTTTTGTAGTGAGATGTTAATCCACAGGATGGGGTCGCTAGACTCATTTCCACCCCTCTTTTCTATCCGGACTTGGGACTATCAGTGACCATAGAAAGGCCCAAGGAGGAGGTCTCAATGCCTACGTGCTCCATCAAAACATCTTTTGAATAATGTAAGGTGGAATTTGTCTACAAACTGTCAGGTACTTTTAGGAAATATAGGAAAACTCTTAAGCTCTGATCTTGGTCTTACGCATTATAACCTATCCTTTCACATTGTATTGGTAGCAGAAGCCGGGAACTATGGTATTAGAGCAGTCATGTCGGATATCTTTCCGAATGGGTCTAAGAAATCAATCTCACATACTTCAAGATCGTTAACGAAAACAAAAGCTGTTTACAGTAAAATCGAAAAAGTATTGTCAATTATATGCGCCGTAAATAAATTTAATAAAATGTTATTCAGATGGCAGTTCAGGCTACTTGAATGGTTATAACTTGATTGTTGAATAAAAAAACGAAGTAGTAATTTGGCAGTGTGAAGATAAAAACAAGGAATGGGGAATTTAAATGCTTTTCAGGCTAAAATAGTAGAAAAACAGTACATCTATAAGAACAAAATATTGACAGTACTTATGAATTTATAAAGTAGCCTGAAAGTTTTTGATGCGTAATCATGCTTTAGAATAGAACTACAAAGAATTTAAACAGTGATTTGTTGATACATGCTTAGTGCTTCAGCCATTGGACTTTCAAACTCCAGGTTTTACGTTTGACTCCTGTTTATCTTACTTTGAATAAGCTGCATCACATATAGGATCAATGAGGATGAAGAAAGCGATGATGATAATTTCCACCCTAATGGATAAGTGATACATAATGACGTTAAAAAAGAGGTTAGTTTTAAAAATCCAGCTTCTTTAATGCAAGCTATAGATAGAGGAACATGAAGTCACTAGATGGGAAATGACTGAGTACACTTAATATATACAAAACTGAGTTTTCTGAAAAAATGACTGGTAATTTAGAAATATACTGTAATTCTATCTTGACAAAAAATCAGTTCCTAAAAAATACTTAATAACCGTTGTTCGTTTAGCTTTCTATGATCATATAGACATTACTACAGAAGAATTTTCACGTAACAGTAACTCACCAATAGCACACAGAAAGCGTAATAGATCACGGATGAGATTCCACTTCCGAGATTGAATCGCTGCTCGGAACAAAGTTAGTGCGCACTACAACAGTGAGAATATGTGCGATACTGTAAGAATTAAATTGAAATTTTCAGTACGTTAAATAAAAAATAATTCGACGATCCTGCATAGAAAGAAATATTGCACATAGATTATTTGCTACTGAAGATCTTCAAAATCTAAAAGATTCATATATGACTTATGTCCATGAAGTAAGAAAAACGATCGAACCAAAAAAGACCGAATTAATCAAAAGACAACTATAAATTGATGATATAGCAGTTATGAGTGACGAAAGTACCTCCTAACAAGAGCTGGTGAGCAGATTTAATAATGTCTACCCAACTTCAACTTCACCAGTAAGAAAAGTAAACGATAAAAATAAAGCTTTTCTTGATGTCCCATTATCTAGGAGAATATACGGTTCCAATAAAAGTAAGATAGTTAGATTCGATTTTAAAAAACATTATGAAACCATGACTATCCAGATATTTCAGTAAAAATAGGAAGAATAAAACGTATTCAGGGAAACAAATTAAAAGACAGGCAAAAAAGGTGATAGGGAGATCAGATTAGAATTTGATAGAAGACAGAGAATGGGTAAACCAGCTCCACTGAAAACAATCTTCAGTTTTATCATTCAAAATCTCTAACTATCAGTTCCGATTGTCTCGTAGACCCCAGGTAGGTTGGTTTACACCTATTAACATGACTTAGTTCACTTGTCTACGACTTCATAGATTTGTGCCATGTTCTCGTTCAGCCACCCCTAGCTTTCTCCCAGCCTACCCCTACACCAGGCATCATCGCTCACCGAGGCAGTCGGCGGTTGGGCATACGTAACACACGTTCCAACCACCTCAACTGATAGAGTTTCAATAGTTCATCTATTGATCTGCCACCCTTACCTAGTACCCGATTTCCTAACAACAGCATTGTTTACTCAGGGGTCTCAGGATACACAGGAAATGTTTCGAAGACACCAATGATCGAAGACAAGCAATCTACGAATATCCTCTACTCTTACTGGCGAAGTTTCACAAACCATATAGTAGGTTGAAGCCAACTGCTGCGCAGTAGATCCATACTTTGGTTTGAAACGGATATCTCGTCTACGCAATAAGTGACGCAAGTTGGCAAAAGCCAGTCGAGCCTTATGCATCCGTGCTAAGATTTCATCAGTCACCAGGGCATCAACATTGATGAGACTCCAAATAAGTGAAGCAGTCAACACGTTCAACTGCTTCAGTCCCTATCGCTTGTTCAGGTGCCGACGGAACCAATCCTGGAGCAACATTTTGCATTTTGAGGAGGCGAATCACATCGCGAACATGCTTCGATTATTCAAAAGATAGTCAAAAGAATGTATTTCGAGGCCTCTTCACCGAACTATATCATCGGCATATTCCAAGTCAATAATTGAGTCTCCTGGTAGGTCAATTTTTGAAAAGTCAGACGATGAAAATGTCATATCTAAAATCATGTCAGTGACAAAGTTCAGTAAGAATGGAGAATGAACAGCTCTGATGAACACCACTTGAAGTAATTGATCCCAATTATAGTTCGCTATGAGCTCTCACTCGACCAGTAGTTTGCGAGAAGAGAGCCTGCATAAGGTTTATGTACTTCTTTGGTGCACATTTTAACGACAGGCACAGAACCTGACGATCGACAGAGTCATGTGTTGCCTTCTGGTTGGGCTCTGGTTATGTAACAAAGCTTTAACAAGGCTAACATTTTCAGAACTTGCTACTCTCTCTCATATTACATTTTCTTTTGCCTGTTTAACCTTATTAGTAGTCGGTGGATTTATACCAATGCGCTATTCAGGTTGACTAGAGATGAGTTTTACAGAAAGCTTTCGGACCTTCTGCAAAACGTTAGGCGCTCTGATATAGTAACAAAGCCTGGTGTCTTTACTGCTGTTAAGAAAACTATAAAAAATCTGAAGGAAATGTACAGACTGAATTTAATCAATAGACGCTAATCAAAATAACAAAATCGGTATAAATGAACGTGGTAGAAAGTAAGTGGCATTTTAAAGGGTTATGGTTACAACATATGAAATAAATAGAAATGAGCAAAATAGTTTCTGAAAACATTACCTCCCAACTGACAGAAAGAGGTTCCGATGTTTGAAGAATGATAAGATAAGAAGCTGCAGTTTCCAGTTTGTTATTCTCCAAACATAGTTCAAAAAGGTCCTTTGGTTTTCGCCCGATGGTCATGAATAAATGAGGCCACCAAGTGACATCAGTCTTACGAGAACAATGTGCCAAAATCTCCAAGAAGTCGGAGAATTCTTGAATAAATGCTACCACCTGGGGTAATAATGGATCTAAAACAGTAATCAGAAGCCACGGAAGCAGTAAAGTGAACAATGAATATATTGATTGAAATGTTAATTAAAACAGATACGATTATTTCAGCAAAATAGAAAGTCTATTTGACTACCGAATAATACGAAAAAATACTTGTCTTTTAACACTTATTCACCTATTTAGAAACGAAAGTCAATTCTAAACCAATAGGCTCACTAAATCACTTTTCTTTCCTGCAAAATAAGTCTCGTTGTTGTTCCTAAAATGAACTCTCTGCTTCTCAATTACTATATCAATCTCGTAATCCAGTGTTGGTTCGAGCCAGGAGGCTCTTTATTCAAATTTAGATTTCCATACAGAATTTGGCATACATATAGTGTTAGACATTCCCCAGAACATCAATTATGTACATTACGTCAACAACTCATTTTACGATGACACACATCAACCACTCGGGCTCTCATTGTAAGACGTCTCACAGATTGGTAATCCATCCAGAGTTGACGTTTCGTTCTCTTTAAATTGGATTGGTGGTCTCGCTATTTACTTTGTAGAGAAATCGCGTAAGATGAAGTACGAATCTTTCTGCTGAACAGCGTCTCGGCTGGAAAGACATCTTTAGGTGAGGATAAGTCTAGGATTATTCCGTACGCCTTCAGGGAATTTTAGATTACCTCCTGCGTTTTAAAGTCTTTGCGACTTGATCAAATCTCGCTTGAAAGCATTGACGTAGCTAGGTTAAATTCAGCTTTCATTATTACTGCGGCGACGACACAATGATCGTCGATTGATGTCAATAACGCAATAGCGGGGTCCCAAAATGGCCTCCAACATGTAATTGATGGTAAAACTATAACCAAGAGAGGAGACAACCAACAGCTGCAAGCGATTTGTTTGAACAGAAGACTGATAAAAGGTTTGATGGTTGACTAAAGATCATCCTAGAAAACTTTTTGGCTGTAAAATAATTGCCAGTGATTTTTTTCTATTCGACTGTAATGTTTTTCGTAAACTGACAGCGTTTTGTATGCATGTCCAACAGCCTCTTGAAAACCATCTAGGGAAATGTGTGAATAACAGTACAGAGGCCATAATTTGATGCATCTGAGGCAATTAATGTTTCGACGTTACGGTTAAATTATGATAGCGGCAAACTGGTTCTCGTAAATATATTGGTGACTGCTATCACAAGTATTTATTTCTATAGTTTAGACAGTTATGATACATAGAGGCTGAAGCTTTGATGATCCAAATAATAACTTCCATTCACACCTTCTAATTAAAAGAAAAAAAAAGGAATTGTAAGAACCATAAAATTATGAAAGGTGTATTAGCTTATGCTGAAATTTTCTACCTGGAGTTGGAGTTTTGGAAGCAGCTTCAACCTCTAAGACTTCATGTAACAACAGTTCCAAAATACGAGGAAAGTACGGCAAATGTTGATACGCCAAGCTCAATTGAAACGCATGTATTCCCAAACTATGTATACAAAAATAAGAAAAGTTTTTTTATGGATTACAGAAACATTGAGGACGATTACACCAGTAATGTTCTGGCAGATAGTTCAAGACTACAGTTCTAGTACTTCATGTGAAGCTTAGATATGAAATACTCCAATGATAAAAACGATAAGGCTTTTCATTGTGCATAAAATCTAAGTTCCCATAGATTTATTTAGTCATTTTTAAGACTAAAGGACAACATAATAAATCAAAGTTGGCTATATTTAATGAATCCTTTGTAGATTTACGTTTAAACAGTAGATATTTTTGGACATTTGAACTGAATGCTAAACGACTATAACAGAGTATACTATTCTCTTATCACATGAATTGGCACCCATTAATATCAACTTTCAAAACCGTCAGCTTGTCAAATGTTCTGATTAGGTTCCACATAATCACCACATGACTATTTACAAGTCATTCAATTACGCAATAAAAGGAATATTATTAAGAATAATAACTGAATTTCTAGATACATCAACTTACTTCTTTTTTAATAGCTGCCGAATAATATGATGTAGTGCTACCTGAATCTGGAATACAAATAAATTCTCAGCAATAAATGTATTATACTGAATATATGGGAATCTAAACTGATAACGCAAGAAAAGTTCATGAACCAATCAAACGAAATAAAAAATAACTAGCAAACTAGCAAACAAATAGTATGACATGATTGATTCAAAACATAAAGGAAAGGATCTTCCATTTATGAGTAGCGGACATTATTTTCTATTTCAAGGAAGTGAGATTATCGCTAAATATATGTATGTTTGGTACAAATGATGAGTCTACTGCATTAGTTTTTTCATAGCTGTGAAACAGCGTTATATGAGCTTGATTAATAACCATTCAATAACTTTTTGATAAACTCTCAACCAACTTTGGTTTGTATGTAAGAATTGCAGTGTCATGACATATATATATATATATATATATATATATATATATATATGCAGACTGTCAAAAAATTACATATTGATTTTTGATTTGACAGTCCCTGTTACTTTTTGCATCTTAGAATAGTTTCCTCATGAACATATATTAACAGAAGTGTTGTAATTTAATATGACATGAGAGTGAAGATTCTAAATCAGAAGACATAATAGCAAGAGACCATAGAGATATCACAAATGATTGATCGATTACGTGACGAAGTAGTGGAATTATAAATTGATAGAAATTAAGAATAAAATGAGTTGGGATCAGTCAGTAAATTCATAAATCTGAAAGAAGTGATGCAATCAAAGTAAGAGAGTAAGAAAATTTTGAGGAACAACATAACAATCTAATAATAAAATCACCATGGTAAGAAGAGCTTTGCAAATGTTTCCTTTTGGGTACAAAAGTTCGGCCTAAGTCATTTGATGGCCATGGCTTCATTCAAATTCCATTCTTCTCAAATTCGCTGAAGTTCTGAATTTCACTCAAGTTAATTTTATACACAATCTCTTTAGTGTTTGTTACTACGCAATTTTCAGCACTGATATTTCAAAAGTTGATTCTTCCTAAATATTTTTCTAGAATATTCATCATATTGGACATGCGATCTTTCAAGTATAAGAGCATCATTTGTGATTTTTTCACATTTATTGCTCATTTCACGAATCTTCCTCATAGAGAAACTAGTAAATTTTCATTCAAATTCCAACAAAAAAACGGGATAAGCTATTTAAAAATAAGTGATTCGACAGAGCAGTCAAATCGTTGAGTTTATACCAATCAGCTTGACCAGTCATGTAGAATGTCGAGGTAACTTCCTTTTAATTTGATTCCAATATATGAAATTTCGGCAACCGAGCATTTTAGCACATCAGTCAGTCAGTCAGATGCAACGTAGAACTTCGTACGTAAGTACATCAGTTCATGTCGCCATACCACATCAGCACAGAGATGTAATTGTCAATTCAAATCCAATAGTAGAAGAGGTAGTTAAGGTACTAGAAGTAATCAGAGAGGTTAGGATTAGAAGATATTATTCAACAAGTATGATTCAGTGAGAAAAGTTTAGAAAGTCAAAACTAGAGCTGTTGAAGAATCCAGAAGATTAGGATTTGAGAGAACATAAAGAATAAATGCACCGGCGCTATTGCGAACGATTTTGAGTCATGTCATTCACATCAATTATCTTTATATCACTACATCTTAATGTATTTTACGATTGATAATCAATAGGTGGGTGAAGTTATTAATTTCTATGTTTACGTTTAATTGGAGAAAAGATTTGGGGTGCAGACATGCGTTCAATCGGACAGATAAAATTGTATATATTTTGGATCAAATGTCTAAATTACAATAAGTAATAAAAAAGATGACAGGCATTTAGTCATGTCTTATGTAATCTGGCACAATTAGTTGGATAAAGGTTTATTATCAAAATAGTCGATGACAAATAGGGGCGTTTGTTTAGAGTGGCTACCAAAATCGATAGAAATATGTGTTGGAAGCAATTTGACAATAAATAACCATAAATAATTTTCTGATTATCCGTACACTTAAATAAGTACGATAATGCTAAACAATCACAATTCGTCAAATCGAAAAGGGGAAAAATTTATTCAACCTAACCTTAATTAATAAAGTCCCATAAGGATATAGCGCGAATACATCGGAAGACATATTTTCTTTCCCACGAACTTTTGACTTGTTCCAGCAACGATGAAATTCATTGAAAATACCGACTAGCAAGCCTTCGTGAAAGCAAATACCTAAAAATGTATATAGTCATACTGCGATTCAGACCAATAAATGTAAAAAGTTTATAAGATATTCAAAATGTAATTAAGGATTTTCGTTTTAAATCATAATAATTTAAAAGCTTGTCCAACAGTGATTTGATGGTGGTACATTTTCTATGTTAAAACTGGAATTAAATAATTTAGAGGGTTACGAATTGAATCACGGATCAACCTGGTATGGAACCAAAGTATGAAAAATTAAGGACGAGAAAAAATTTGGAAGATTAATGATCACCCGTCTCGACTTTCAGCCATTTTGTTCGACCTCCTGATACTGAATTGTGTCCAACAACCAAATCTAAAGTGGATGACGTTCCAGATGGAGAGAGGATATATGCCTTATGAAATCAGATATAAGAAATCTGAGATATAAGAATCCCTGTAGTTAAAGATGTTCCTCTTACTTACATTTAGAAAATAAAATAAAGTTACGGCAAAGTCATCGATAGCGAAATTAAGAGGGAAACTGAAATTGGGAAATTGTGCCCTGCCCCACTGCTTGAATGAAACAATGGAGAGAGGTGGTTTTTTGCGCTCTCTGTCTCCCTGAGGTGTTGGTATACAGGGCATTCATGATGTTAATAAACTTCACAGACACATTCATCTTCAACAAACAATCCCACAGAACAATCTTGTCCAACGAATTGCAGGCAACCCCGATGTCAAAAAGCATAACAACTGTTGGCCCGCGATACGTGTGGTGATGTTCTGACATTTGGTGGAAGGATAAGATATGTTTAATACATTTCCGACCAGAACAAAAACAAGTCCGCTTCTTGCGAGTCAATCTTTCTCAGGTTTTGAACAATCTGAAAAGTACAGAAAGTCAATAATTTGGATGCGATCGGTATAAGACTAATCCCGAGATAGTTGCTACAATGATGATATGGTACTTTTTTAAAGATAGGGATAACTATCAACTCATTCCACGATGTTGACAAATGGTTATAATGAACTCAGTCAATCTCATACTCAGAAGATCACCATCATTTTTCAGAAAGGGGCAGAGGTAAGTCAGCTGGATCTGGTGGTTTGTAACGTCTCGACAGTTTGGGTCCCTTACGAACTTTCACCTCGTTAGGGGAATCTGATCGACGTCCGTAGGGTAGCAAACCACCAGAACTGTTCCTCAAAATACTCTGTCCATCGCCCAAGAAGTCAGTGAATGGTATTGATTGGTGTCCTATCAGCTTCATGGATTATTTCATTCACACTAGACTTCTCGATGCCACTGGCTCGGATGAGTTGCAGGACTGTGCAGAAGAAACTAATATACTCTAATTATTACTTTCAGACTGGTAAGTAAACCAAATTATGAGGTTATCTTGAAAGCTTAGGCTTAAGCATGTGTCGTCTGAAAATGTGATTTGTATCCACAACACAACATAGAAATCAATTTCTCTGGTCATATCTATTATTCATGTCTAGTGAATAAAATCTAACCGTGAATATTTCGTTATACACTTTGAAGTAGGTGTAGTATATAAGAATTTATAGCCGAACAGTTGCTGGATGAGCGCATTTGCAATAAAGTCACAGGTTGAGTAATTTAATGATAAATGACACGTAAAATAAGTAAACAGTCAACAAGCCACCGAAATAAGACTAGTTCAACCAAGGGTATGAGCAGAGTTCAGATAAGTATTCCAAAAGAAGCAGCATTTCTAAACATAAACGACAGCGGTAGCTGACCATGATGTGATCAATCTGAACTCAGAATGACATGCAGAGGAATGACGCCATGTAGCACATTGACGACAACTGTACCGATAATTAGTGCTAACCAGAAACATGCTGTAGTATATGCTAAGTTGCAGTAGATGATAGCCGTTATCTGACCTGCAACCAACAACTCATCAGTGGTCACACAGATGACTCTTAAGTACATAGTCGCCCCACCTGTGTATTTAACTCTTTGGCTAGTACGATAATATCTGTCGGACTCACTTTGTGGAGATCACTCAACTGGTGGTAGGGGCGTAAAGAAAGATAACTAGAAGAAACCTTTTTCACACCGATTACTCAGTTGATGGAGCTTTCTAATTTAACAGCATATAATCATTTGTTAATGAGCATCTAATCGATTAGTACTGCTTAGGCTTTAATGCTTACTGTGACACTAACGCCAGTAAGACCAGGAGAATATGTCACAGAGTCCCGCGAAAAACGCACGTGAAACAAGCTTTTTCAGTCGACAGATGTATAACGAATATATTCTAATACGTCACTAGAGTCCTGAATACGAGTCTCAGGTAGACGAAAGATATCGGTCCTCAAACTTTCCGAATACAGCCCACATAATTTGTTGTTCGACCTGCATTGGTACGAGGACGTTGAAGGAGCCCAGTTTGAATGGCTCACGTGGTTTAAGAGATGATATTCAGAATTCGTATTTGGCGGTGACATTTAACTTCAACCAGTTGGTAACTTGAAAGTTATTAGATAAGACGAAATTTCAACAACGGCGAGCTGCTTTATGGTTTGAAGAGTAAAGGAATAAACAAGAGACGCAGTGAGAAATGAAAACCGATAGTAACGACTGGTTTTGAGTATTATTTGAGAGAATGAGAACCAAAGCATGGATAGTTTTCCTATTTGTATCTATCGTTTAGTTTGTGTGTGGACTATGATATTACCCAGGTGCCCAATCCAAAGCGGTTTTCTTAGGCGTAAACCCCACGAGCCTTTGGCCAGGAGGCCTAGTCTACAAGGGAATGGAGTTACGTCAGGAGTTGCATTGCCATGGAACATCCTGGAGTCCATGTTCACCACTGGTTATGAATGAGGATTTTTCAAGTTTCCTAGGTCGATAATTTGTACCAACGAAACCTGTTTAAGCGCGGGACGTTCGTCCTCTCGATTTTGTAAACAACACCCTTACTGCGAGATGGCAATGAGAATGACGTCTATGGTAGAGGCTACTTAAGCGTGGCCCTGTGAGCATTGTGAGAGGGAAGGTGGATTCTCCTTACTCTCGACAGTGACGCGACATTCGGGAGTGATTTGATTTTAACAAGAGCAGATTTGTGAATGATGGGGATAGGTGAGAAATAAAATAAATTGCACTTCCAAATCAAATAATTAGAAATTTGTGTGCCATAGTCTTTTCGGATTTACTTCACGTATTACGTCTGATTTGAACTGTGATTGAATGAAACTTAGCTCATTAGAATACCCTCTGGTGTATCAGATTCAACTCGCAATATTGATCTTAATAAACATGTTACGTCATGTAACATGTAACAAACTATTAACGGTGCATTCAGAACTGATCCGGCATCAATGGTAGTCAGAACACTAACAAAGTTATAAAGCGAAATTAAACAAAATTAAATAGGATAATTACATAATATAAGAACAATGAATATGCGATCAAAAATTCATAAAACTGATCATTCGTAAAGCAAATCAAAAGTAAAATGCGTTTCCCAGAAAAGAGAGACAATAACAACATGTCATCGATCTAACTTACTAAGGGGGTAAAACTCGCCACCTAACTCAAATGACAGCATTATTCTTCGGTAATCACAGCTTGGAACTGGTGAACCATCGTGATCCATACTGAATTTGTAGTTGGTATCCGACCTCATAGATTCATGATAAAAACTAACTGCAAGAGAAGACGGAACCCGTGGTAGTGGAAGCCAAACACTAAGTCCGGTTGCTCCAGAATAAAGCCATAAGGAGTCTTTTGTATAAGCATTTGTATCAATCCCACTTAGTGGTGTTGAACGGTCATTATCAACTTGAGGAGTGATTGGTGTGGGACAACTTGTAGACCATAAAATTTCTATTTCAGAAGCAACTAATAAAGGTTTTCCAAATGATAGTAACTGATCGGAAATAACCTTATTCAAAAATGAAATAATAGTAGTTTAGCATGAACAAATGGCTATACGTAATCAAGAAATTTAACACGATACAAAATGGGGCATATTTAGGAATACGCTGAAGAACACTCAATTTAGGGAAAGATAGGACACTGAGTCTCATATTTCATCGACCTGTATAACAAAAATTCAATCATGTTGACAATGACAGATAACAGCTTTAATAAACAAACGCATGGATCGTATTTCTAAATATTAATAACATTTAGAAATCTGCTAATAGTCAACTGAAATCCCTTTCAAAGTCCCATAATTTGGTGTTTATAAAACCTGAAAATGAAGGGCATTTAACTTTGAATTACGCCCTACATGTGAGTGTTATAGAAACTTCATCAGCTAAAGTAGGTGGAGGGAGTTTGAAGATGGCGTCCAGAGATTAAATGCTATGGATGGAACATGGCTGAAATAATTGATGTTCAACATCTATTTCGTTTATAGGAACACGCACTTTCTCTAGAGCTGCTTCTGCCATCCATCTAGAAACAGAAATAGACAGGAAAATCGTTAATAACTAAAAACTATGCCACAATCGACTCGGCCTAGTGGCACGAACCAAAGATCAGGACCTTCAAATTTACTTTGATGGTCTTATAAAGATTCTGTGTTTTAAATGAATGCGTTTAAATGAATGGATTATCTTCAAAGCATAACTATTTTTATTATTACTATCGTCATTATGAATATATCCATCACTGCTTTTTTGTGATTATTTATCCTTTTATGTAACTAATAATATAGTTATGAGTAATTGCAATTTGTACTATGGTGTTTGATACATTTTGCCCTGTAGCACGTTTCGGTTATAAAGTCAGTGAATATGCAAACCAATTACTGCATAAGAAATGAAGTAACTAAATATCAATATTCAGTTTCCTTAATTGTCACGACGAATGATGTTTAGATTACCTGTTGGTTAATTTCTACGGACGTTCCAGAATGGCTTTTCTGAGTGACGTCTGAATATGAACGTTGTAACATAAGCACATCACCAGAATAATTCATAACTAAGCTCTCAACCGAATATAAAGCTGGGTCGAAATTACAAAATGAACTATATTCTGAAGAGGTGGTTGTACGGGTAAAAGCTGAAACAAAAATAAAAATTAAAAATTAATAACCAAAGTTGGGTGACCCATGTTTGATAGTTATCATTGGTGATATGATGAACCAAAAAACTGTTCTAACTAATCATAACTATTGATAAGTCACTTGCATCTACAGCTAACTTTTATCTGATTCGAACTACTCTTGATTCCATACAGAATCTAATCTGGAAACAAAACTTGGAAACTTAGTCAAGGAAACGAAAAAAGGGGATTTTAGACTTACATGCATTACTTTTGAGAGTTGTAAGACAAATCCGAACAACACATGCTGGAAATACGACAATATTTGTTAGATTCACAGCCTTGAAAGCAGATATGATGACAGTACCTACGGTGAGGGAAAAAATATTTGATGAAAGTTTATGGAAAGATATTGAAAATTTAAATGTAATTATTACATATGCTGTAGGTTCGGAGATTTAGTGTGTGCTGTGATTCAATTACATCATCACTGTGCAAAATTTTTTATCAGGTAACATATAAGTTTCCTAAGCTTCTCATCAGGTCTGATGGATATCAATACGGTTTTAATGAAAACAACAGAGTATATATTCCTTTAAAATAAACAGCTTTCATGGTTGACTACATGTCTAGTTTGTTCTAGAAGCATGCACCTGGCATTATTATTATCCGATCTCAAGAAAGTTTTTCTTATCTAAATTCTCTGCATCCTGAATAACATTGAGAGGTTAGAGTTAACAAATATGCTGAATAATTAAAAGTAGTCTTCATCGAGACCTCACAAACTCTGGCTGTTAGCGATATGGTGTATTTGAACCTATCGCTATGTTAATCTTGAAGGCCACCAAGTTGTACAATATCGCACCTGGTCAACGTTAATCCCCATTAGGAATACGGTTGTACGAGAACAGTTTCGAAAGATGAAAGCAGTTATCTGTTATGTGAGCTAAACGCTAGAAACAATGACTAAGTGCGTTTCAGATTAAATCAGCCAACGTATCTGAGAAGTAAAATGATCCTCTAGTTTTAGAGAAACAGACTAAAACCTTTCAACATAAACAATCATCTACTAGTTAATTTTAGTCGCAGTCATTCTGAACATAAACAAGGACCAAAAAGTGATCAGGGCAAGTATGCAAATTTTTAGAGTCCCCACAACTTTGTTCTCCGAGAGAGCGTGCAGGTGACTGTCCACTAAACTCTAGTCTAGGAATACGTGTTTGCTTCTGCGATTAATGCTGAACATACGCTATCGAGCCCAAAAGCTATTAACGGATATCTACTTTACACTGGCTGGATGAGATAATATGAATCACGTATGAGGAAAAAAGCTAAAACTTTTATCGATACAAGGAATGCCCGACCGTAGCTGCTACCTTGACGTGGTGGTCGAACTTGCCTATCGTGATGACCCAACCGAGCTATATTGGCTGCAACATATGTTCCTGAAGGTTCTACCATGCCAGGCAGGTCGATTGGAGAACGATGAGACTAATAGCAGCTACTCGAGGTCTGAAGGCGAAGTCGTACTGGTGATTGTAGAGTGGTGTGACAGCAGTAAGGTGTTTCCCCCGGACACCAAGCATCTGCAGAGATGCTGCCTTCTCAAATGAAAGGAAAGGGTTGCGAAAGGCCCACCCTAAAAACGTCACACCTCACCCTACCTCACGGATTTCCGTCTCCGGTGGTAAGAGCTTTCAAAAGAGCGGAACTAATTCTCAAAAAACCTTTATTTTGAGGTTCCTCAAGAAGCAACCTTCCATGGTGTGGGCAGCCAAGAAGTGACATCCGTCCACAAACGCGAAACAACATACGAGATCGAATCAGTCACAATCAAATCTTTCCTACACCCCATAAAATCCCCCTTACCTTCGCGACTAACTCAACTCACACTCCTTTATGACGCTGCGTCGCTAATGAAAACGATGAGAGTTCAAGAAACGCTATTCCTGGTCTCCTGAAACCGTGTTCTAAATTACATGGAGCACTCAGTGTCCGAAAATTGTATCAAATAAGGCAACAGGCTTCATTAGCTAGGACTTTAGAATCTCGCGCCAGAGATGTGTGCTGCGTGTCGGAAACGCTCATACAGGATCCGAGTAGCGTCATTCACTTCACTTCCCACGTCAAGATAGGGAAAAAAGCTCGATTTACTCGAGTATCTAGAGACCTGCTGCTGCTTTCCAGGATGCAGAACTAGCGCTCCTCGGAAAGATAGGGACACTCGCCGTTTCCTCTTCGTCGTATCTACCTACGCTCCCACTGACTGCAGTTTAGACGAGGTGAAAGATGAGTTTAACAGAAAGCCTTCGGACCTACTCCAAAAAGCTAGGTCCTCTGATGAAGTATTAATAGCTGGTGACTTTAATGTTCAAGTAGGAAAAATATCTGTTGACCTGGCGACCCCTAAAGTCGTCTCAACCTTGGACCCAACCAAATCACATCACCATCAGCCACCGATGGAGGGGTTCGATAGAGGACTGTCGCTCGTTCTGTGGCACATGTTTAGATTCAGATCATGCCTTAGTCCGAGCTCGTATTTGTTTTCGTCTTAATGGACGTAGGAAAGACACCGCGAGGAAACCTCTTAGGGTTCTACCTAATGATAGCATAGGTAAGAATATATTTCAGGAGAAACTAGAACGACAGTTAGGCGACCATGTAAGCGATTCCCATCCAGAGGCAGGTTGGAATGATATCAGAAAGGCTGTGGAAACAGCAGTAATATCAGCTAGTAAGGTGAACACATCCAACCAGGCTCTGAGCACGATGGGGAGCGAAGACAACTTAAGCGCAGGCTGATAAAAAGCCTACGCAAGAACCGTGAACAGTGGTGGGTAGCGTAAGCAAGGGAGATGGAAAAAGCAGCGGCGATAGGTAACAGCAGACATTTGTTCTGACACATCAGAGAAACCAGGATTAGAAACACGAATATGAGTGGAACTATCGCAGAAAGGAATGATTGTATCATTCATTCTCATTTCAGGAGATTGTATCGTTAGGCAGAATACTATAGGGATCAGTTCAACTGACCTTCAGCCGCGCTTCCGTTGCCCACAATCTCCAGTCATCCTCATCGGAAAATCGATATAAGTCCTACATGTCTTTATGAAGTCCAAAAAGCATCCAAGCATGTTCGGGATGTGGTTTTCCCCGTCGAAATGCGAAGTGTTGCTTCAAGATTGGGTTTCATCGGCACCTGAACTAGTGATAGGGAGTGAAGTAGTCGAACGTGTAGACTGCTTCACTCATCGCGTAAGTCTCATCATTACTGATGTCCTAGTGACTGACGAGAACTCAGCATCGATATAGAAAGCTCGATCTGCTTTTGCCAACCTGAGTCACCCATGGCGCAGGCGAGATATCCGTTTGCTGACTAAAGGAAGAGTGTACTGTGCAGCAGTTCTCTCCGTCTTACCGTACGGATGCGAAACATGGCCGATAAGAGTACAGGACATTCGTGAAGTGCTTGTCTCCGAAGCATTGCTTGTTTATCCTGGGACAACCTTATAAGCAATGCTTTCGTTAGGAAACGAGTTCTAGGTAAGGATGGCAAATCAATAGATGAAGTAATGAAACTTCATCAGTTGAGGTGGTTGGGACATGTGTTACGTATGCCTAACCACCGACTGCCGCGACAAGCTATTTTTTGTGGTGTAGGAGTAGGTTGGAAGAAAGCTAGGGGCGGTCAGATCAAAACATTGCAGAAATCCATGAAGTCACTGACAAGTGGACTGAGTCATGTTGGTAGATGTAGGCTACCTGGTTGGGGTCCGCGAGATGTTTGTAATCGATGGTTAGAGACCTAGAATGAGATGGCTCAGAATCGTTTGCAATGGCGCAGGTGCATCCACTCTTTGTGTTCTCTCTAATTCTAACCTTCTGAATTCCTCATAATCTCTATCTTTCTCCTTCTAAATTTATCTCACTGAATTAAACTTCTCGAATCATATCTTCGCTCCCTAATCTTCTCCATTACTGCTAATACTTCTACTATCGCTAATGTGGTATGGCAACCTGAACTGATGTACGTACGTACGAAGTTCTGCGTTGTATTTGTCTGCCCGATAAGAAGAATGTTGAGTCTTCATATTGGTAGTATCATCGATATAAATTTGAGACAACGGAGCCCATAATTACATCACAGGAACTGTAAATCTGTTAGGTCAGGAAATGTGTGCAGTTTTTCAAACTCTCCATCTGTTTTTAGGAAGGCAGGGAAAGAGAAGTTATTCGTGATTATCCTACTGCTATTATATTCTAAAACAAACAATAGAACGAATTGGCCTTTAGACCTGAAGTTTACTGAGTTTGATCTCACCGCTCTTCAATGTATCTACATTAGATGATGGTGTCTTAATTTACACATCAGCCTTTAAAACATAGACAATGATAAAGTAATTTAAGATTCAATCAGATTAACTTCATAAAACTAACTTTTACTGGACAGAGACTCTGATAAGCCAAAGATTTGCAAACATCCGTCGTTGGTAAGTACAAGGAAAAGATTTCCAAAATTGTCTACAATGACGGGTAACGTGAAGGGTGGAAGGTTAGAGACAGAGCTAAATTGGTTGTCAAGTTTATGCTCCGAGGAGTAGACACGAACCTAAATTCATCAAATATTGAAATATTATAGAAGGCCAATATAGTAACGGTATAAAATTCGTGTACATGTAGCGTTATGATGTAAGAAATACATACCTCTACATAACCTAAAAAAAATTGGGGTAAAGATGAGGAGTATCCCAGTCTTATATCATACACGCAAAAGAGATACTCACAAGCAAAATAGACAAAATATAATGTTAGTAGGCAGATTCATCATACCAGAGCACTTCGACCACCTATAACCAACGTCAAATGGAACACACAAGCAGGGGTTAGGATAGCTTATTAATAGGGAGATAGCTCCTGATTATCAACGATCAATATACTACAAACTGTTAAGTCAGAGTATCGGGACAGAAGTCAATTATGAGTCTAATGAATTACTTCATTCACAAAAAACACTGCATCAGCACACTACATCTTTTGAGAAAATGAGGAATACATACCAGTAGAACTAATATCTCAACCTTAAGCCTACAAATACCAGTCCTTTAGGGAAACAAAGTAGTGTTACCATATATTAGTACAAAATTCTTTTATCGAAAGAATATCCATTAAACTTTTAATCCTCATAGTAAAATGGTAAATGTATTTGGTACTGTTATTGCTAATCAACTAAGGTTTTCAAAATTCCAAAACCCAGAAAATGAAGAACAATTAAAGCACCATATTTTTTTTGAATAAGTGTAACCGATGGTTACTGATACTAGGATTATTTGAGAGAAAAAGTTCATCGCTATGCATGAAAAATCACTTCATTTAGGAATCTATAATATACATCATTTCGCAGCAAGTCATTAATTAGGATATAAAACAGAAACATCAAATTCAGCATACCTCGCTTGTACCATAATTTTCTGTTAAACAGGTGAGACAAATATACTGTTTCCACCAAGCCATACCACCAAAAACATGTAACGAGTTTTCCTACAACGTTCAAAAATACAAGTGTAAAAAAACGGGATAGATGATAATTGGAGATCTGAATAAAGAACGATAGTTGTTTCCTAAAACTAAATATCTACAAACGGTTAGTCAGAACCTAAAAGCACAAGTATAGAAATTTTAAAGGCTAATAATCGAGATATTCCCAGGGTATTGATAAATCCGTTGTATTTTCTGGTAACTTCGGTTTTACGTTTCTTCTTATTGACATACTATATATTTGTTTAGAAAATAGGTGATTACTGTAAATAATAAATAATTGGAAAGCTGAAAATGAATTCTCAACTGCTCGGTACTAAACATGCAAGCAATCAATGTACACTTGGCAAATTAATTGCTGGAATGGTAACTTCTAGGACTTATTCGCGGATAATAATTCGGTAGCTAGATTATCATATATATAAAAATGAGTCAAACGTCCAATAATCGTTTTGACGGGTAGCGATAAAAATGATTAGGAATAATTTACATTGATTTACCTGCTTTATATTGCCGAAAACATGCCAACGTTGTGAAACAGTGTTATAGTGAATAAATCCATTGCGACCGGAAACTGCTAATTTTTTACCATCGACAGAAACAGCAACATACTGAAAAAGAAGAGAGGAAAGCTAATTCCGTACAACGAAGAAGGAGTAAACAGATAAAAAGAGTTCCGTCCATAGAGGTCATGTACGATTCATGTATGACGTGTTGCAAAAGAAAGAGGCCATGACTGATTGCGACATATCCGAAAGGTGAGGCAACCCCAGTAACCACAGTCATACGTAAAATACATATTATAACTCTTAGGAAATCCTGGCGTTTTAACAGAAATTTAGCAACATCAGACTAAGGAGAGACTATTATTAGGAAAGTTTGGAATGTTTGACCTATAAAGGCTAAGTTTTGACTAAGGATCCATGATTCAATGATAATTCTAACTGTTACGTCGATATGGTGACCGGTCTTACATGTAGTATTGACTTGAGCAGGCTATGCTGGCTGGAGCTTATTTTTGACATTTTATTGTGATAAACAGGTCAGTCAGATAGCGGTAAAACAAAAAAGCAAGTTTCCGTTCCCAAAGTCCTTTTGTACTGTCGACTAAAATGTGAGGAGTAGTAAGATATTTTTAAACAGACAGTCAGGATCTCCAGTGGTTATAACATCCCTCAATAAGAAGAGGGATTCGAGGAGGCTGACCCTAAAAATAAGGCATTTCGCCTTGTCAATGGGTTTCTGGTCGGCGGCCAATGCTTTACTAGGGGAAACAGGCATAAGTAAGTGGATTCCCGATGCTAGCTGCAAGGTTCAAAGGGTAAAAAGGAAATGAAACAGAAACCAATAACAAAAAGTCGTAAGACCAGGGAACAAGCAGTTGACTAATAGAGACACTCTCCAATCAAAAATATTGCTGCATATTCCCAATAGTGTTTGAATTGATATTGGTTAGAATAAAACCTACACTTTATTTTATAATATTTTCTTTATTTCTATTATCAACACACTCTGTGGTTTTGTCGCTTTCAGCTGTATATTTTTTTGCCTCCAGTAGGGGGTGGGCGAGTGCGTATTTGGACTAGAACATGGTCAGGATCTAAATATGTGATCTAGAACGAGCGAAAATCCTCAATCGAGCCTCTCGAAAAACAACCAATGGCGATATGGCCAAAGTGTACATCAATAAGTGAATCTAGTAAATCGCCAACTTAAATGATGTTTTATATCACTACCTGTTAAGAATACACACTTATCTATGTATAACTGAAGCTGAAGGATAACCGTCGAATTTTTTTATTTTGCTTAGTGAATAGAGAAGTGTGAAAGACCCGTGAGTATTTTTTTTATTAGGTAGCATTACTTAACAACTAAACGCTTAACTGTCACATTAGTTTAAAACATTGATTCTCAACAAAAAAATTTATACAAAGGATGAATTTATCCTTCATTTGAAGAGCTTAGGCTTAAGAAGTAGAAAGCATACTTCCAAGTTTTTTAAACTAAAAATATGCGGCCTTGCAAACTTTTTAAAATGCCAAATCAATATCTATTTTTTCCAAGTTAAACAAGTTTTAACCGTACTCAAGAGATTATCATTTCAATATCAATATTAAAGGTTATGGGTTACCATGTCGCACATTCAAAAATATGAATCATGCTATCAAACTTATCCTGATATTTAAAAATTTTGAAAGCACTCACACACTACTGATATGCGTGCGAGATAAAGAATACTTAAGTTGAAGATAGTTTCTACCTTTCTCAAAACATTTTTTCATCGACTAAGCTTAATATTATATTTCTTATGGACAGTTCCTAAGGACATAAATCAGCTTATGCATAAAAGAGATCATCATATAAAACACAAAACATCGGATAATTTACTCGAACTGGCCAATTGGAGTTGATATATTGTTTTGGGACTATTATATTCTCGGTTTGCATTTTGTAAGTCAGTTGATCCCTGTTTGCCAAAATAATTCGGTCAGCAGTTTGAAGAACAATATGAAAATGATTATCCTGAGATAAAAAAACAAATAAAATTGTTACAATAGGTTAATTACCCGACTGAAAAGAACATTGACAATTGCTAATGAAATTTCTGCATTTTTACGATAACTGTAAATCAGTGAAGGTAGTCAGTCATTCACTGAATATTAAGCACGGCTATCTCCATTCTTCAGATTGACAAAATCACCGTATATTGGTAAATATGAGTACATTCTCGAAACCAAATAGTTTTTACAAATTAGGCCACACTAAATAAATACACCCTAATCTTAAAGTGGATAAACACGGTGACTAACAAATGAAATTCATATATTTACAAATGATTGATGTACATAGCTTTTTGAAAAGACTGTTACATGGTCATCGAGAGGTTAGAGAAGAACAGAAGGATGAAAATGATTTGTGCTAGAAATATGAGAGATAACTGTCGACTTAAGAGATATGAATAAATGTGCATTTATAAGTTTACTTGCTTTTGTGAAGCAGGTTACATTGGTCACACGAAACGAACACTTTCTGGACGCACATCAGAAGTCACCCAGGAGGCATTAAAAAGGTGAAAGCTGTTATGTCTGCAAGTAAACACATCATTTTGATCTGCTTGAACTATTACGAGTTTACCTAGTCGGAAAACGAGAGCGAGGATCGGGAATCCGGCGACGCGACATGCTACTAAAATCCGAGTATCTCAACCCCAATAATGATTAAAAATAAGAAGACTTGATATGAAGTAGAACCTGTATTCTACATGCATTCAGAAAGTACGAGGTCGGAGTAAAGAAGCGAATCCCAGGCTACGGATACGGGAACGAGACAAGCTACTGGTGGTGGACATAAAACGTTACAGATAATGCAAATTTATACTATTGGTCGAATGAGAAACAGCATCGAAGTCTGTGACATTGATAGTCAGGACAACCAATCAGAAACAACATCGGAGCACATGACATTGATATCTAGGACGATCATAAAAAAAGCAAAACTATCGATCGGAGTCGATCAATCAATCTATAGCAACGTAGAACTTCGCACGTACGAACATCAGTTCATGTTGCCATAACACATTAACACAGAGATGTGATTGACAATTCAAATCCAATAGAAGTAGAGGTAGTACAGGAATCAGTAGTAGTTGGAAAGGTTAGGATTAGAAGCTATTAGTCAAGAAGTGGAATCTAGTGAAATAGAATCAGAAAGATAAATATAAAGTGATGAAGAATTGAAAAGTTTAGGATTTGAGAGAGCACAACGAACGGATGCACTTGCGCCATTGCAAACGATTTTGAGCCATGTCGTTCAAGGTCTCTAACCATTGGCTATTATCGTCTCGCGGACCCCAACCAGGTAGCCTACATCTACCAACATGACTCATTCCACTTGTCAATGACTTCATGGATTTCTGCCATGTTTTGGTCTGGCCGCCCCTAGCTTTCTTCCAACCTACTCCTACACCACAAAGTATAGCTCGACGAGGCTGTCATTGGTTGGTTAGACATTCGTAACACATGTCCCAACCACCTCAACTAATGAAGGTTCACCACTTCATCTACTGATCTGCCATTCTTACCTAGCACCCGTTTCCTAATAACAGCGTTGCTCACTCCGGTGTCCCACGATATACCAGCAATGCTTCTAAGACATCTATGATCGAATACTAATAACCTACGAACATCTTTTACTCTTAACGGCCATGTTTCACATCCATATAGGAGAACGGAGCGAACTACTGCGCAGTACACTCATCCTTTGGTCAGCAAACGGATATCTCGCCTACGCCATAAGTGACGCATATTGGCAAAAGCCAATCGAGCTTTCTGTATCCGTGCTGAGATTTCGTCAGCCGCCAGGCTATCAGCACTGATGAGACTCCCCAGATAAGTGAAGTGATCAACACCCTCGACTACTTCACTCCCTATCACTAGTCCAGGTGTCTATGCAACCTAGTCTTAAAGCAACATTTTGCATTTCGATGGGGAAAACCGCATCCCGAACATGCTTGCATTGTTTCCTATGGTAGTCAGAAGACTCTGGATTTTGTCAGCGTCTTCACCGAATATAACTATGTCATCGGCATATTCTAAGTCAGCAAGCGATTTTCCCGGTAGAAAGTCTGTAGCACCTCACATATGTCTTGTACGCCACAGGTCAAACCCTGAAAAATCTGACGAGCTTAATGTTAACTCTAGGAGGAGCATTAAAGTCACCAGCCATTCTCACTGTATCAGGGCGCTTAACATTTTGGAGAAATTTAGAGAGGTTTCAATAAAACTTATCTTTTTTGTCGTCTGAACTACAGTCAGTGGGAGCGTAGGCAGATATGACGAAGAGGCAACGGCGAGTGTCGCTATCCTTTTGAATCCTTACTGTCCCGTTTAGTCGGACGGCGCACAAGCGACTATCTACTGGGATCCAGTCAAGGAGAGATTGTTCTGCCCTAGGACTCAACGCTATGCCTACGCCAGCTAGACCCCGGGAAGCAGCATCAGGGCTACCGGATACACGAAGGGTAAATCGAGCTGCTTCTTTATTTTGACAAGGTGAAATCAGAATAATAATAATACTAGGATCCTGTATGCGCGTTTCCGAGACGCAGCACACATCGATGGCGCGAGATTCTAAAGTCCTAGCTAACGAAGCCTGTTGCCCTATTTTACACAATCTTCGTACATTAAATTCTCCAACATGTAGTTTAGAATGGGGCTTCAAGAGACCAGGATATAGAGAATTCAGATGACAGTTCTCCATAAGCTCTCACTCGACCAGTGGTGTTTGAGTAGAGAGCTTGTATGAGGTTAATGTACTTATTTGGTACACCCTTTAATGACAGACACTGCCACAAAACCTCACGATCCATTAAGTCAAATGCCGCCTTAAGGTCCAGGAAGACAACTATTGTAGGACGCCTAAATGTGTATCTGTGTTCCAGGACCCGTCGTAGTGTGAAGATGTGGTCAATAAAGCCACGTCCGGGTCTGAAGCCAGCCTGGTTTCCCCTAGTCTGCTCTTCACAAGCTCTAGTTAGGCGTCTAAGTATAATCGAGGCTAACAATTTAGAGAGTATATTAGTTAGACTTATTCCCCCGTAATTCTCATACGAGGACTTTTGTCCTTTCTTACAAATTTGGACAATCAGGGATTGAGACCAGTCGGATGCGATTACGTCCAGTTCTCAGATTCTACCTGAGATTTCAGTCAATGTAGCTGCTAAAACTGGACCACCATCTCAGGGGTCAATCTATCAGGACCTCATTTCCTACAGCCTTGACAGACATATGGTTTACCTTACTAGAAGATATCACTGCTGTTTCCACAGCTTTTTTAATATCATTCCAACCTGCTTCCGGATGGGAATCGCTTACGTGGTCGTCTAACTGTTTTTCTAGTCTTTCCTGAAATATATTCTTACCTATGCTATCATTTAGTAGAACCCTAAGAGGTTTTCTGGCAGTGTCTTTCCTACGTCCAGTAAGCTTCAAACAAATACGCGCTCGCACTAGGGCATGATCTGAATCTAGGCATGTGCACCAGAACGAGCGACAGTCCTCTATCGAACCCCTCCATCGGTGGCTGATGGCTATGACTAAGAGGGGTGGATATCATCATAGTGAGTTCAACATAAAAGTAAGAGGTAACTATTGATAGACGTGATAAATATCTAACCAAGGAATATTTGACGATAATACCTTCACTGAGTTTCTATGTTTCTTTCTGAACTGCATTATGTTGTTTAAGCTGATACTTAGTCATGGCGACAGCCATATTGATTTGTTTCTCTTCTGATTGTGTCGCTTGCATTGACTAGAATTGTGCATTTCGATTGTGAATTGAAGCACCCTTCCAGAATAAGAGGCAATATATGTTATAAAGCGACAAATATTATCTTTCGAAGGAATCTGATCTATCCAGAAAGGATAGAATAACATTGTCGCTGTTGATTTGATCAATTGAACAATTTTTGGTACATATATATATTTATGATAAATATCAGAACCGTCATTTGCCCAATCACTTGTTTTGGTTTCAACTGGGCAAGGCGCATATCTAAACTACCTAGACAGTTATTCCTCAGTCCAAACCTCAGTTCGGATCCTACACAAGATACTTTTGAAAATATTCGACAATTAGGTAATGTTTTGGAAAGACAATGTTTCCTGAAGATTTAACTATAGGGTTAGTCAGTCAAACGCAAAACAGAACGTAGTATGTGTACATTGGTTCCGGTTGACATGCCCTACTAGCACAGTGAGATGAAGTCGTCTGGACAAATCCCAGAGTAGTAGAGTCAGTCAGTCAGTCAGTTGCAACGTAGAACTTCGTACGTAAGTACATCAGTTCATGTCGCCATACCACATCAGCACAGAGATATAATTGTCAATTCAAATCCAATAGTAGAAGAGGTAGTAAAGGTATTAGAAGTAATCGGAGAGGTTAGAATTAGAAGATATTATTCACAAAGTATGATTCAATGAGATAAGTTTAGAAAGTCAAAACTGGAGTTGTTGAAAAACCCAGAAGATTAGGATTTGAGAGAACACAAAGAATAAATGCACGGGCGCCATTGCGAACGATTTTGAGCCATGTCATTCAAGGTCTCTAGCCATCGATTATTATCATCTCGCGGACCCCAACCAGGTAGTCGACAATTACCGACATGGCTCAGTCCATTTGTCACTGATTTCATGGATTTCTGCCATGTTTCGGTCTGGCCGCCCCTAGCTTTCTTCCAACCTACTCCTACACTACAAAACAAAGCTCGACGAGGCAGTCGGTGGTTAGGCATACGCAACACATGTCCCAACCACCTCAACTGATGAAGTTTCACCACTTCATCTACTGATCTGCCATTCTTACCTAGCACCCGTTTCCTAATAACAGCGTTGCTCACTCCGGTGTCCCACGATATGCGAGCAATGCTTCGAAGACACCTATGATCGAAAACCAGTAACCTACGAATATCTTCTACTCTCACTGGCCATGTTTCACAGCCATAAAGTAAGACGGAGCGAACCACTGCGCAGTACACTCGTCCTTCAGTCAGAAAACGGATATCTCGCCTACGCAATATGTGACGCAGTTTGGCAAAAGCAGATCGAGCTTTCTGTATCCGTGCTGAGATTTCGTCAGTCACCAGGCCATCAGCACTGATGAGACTACCAAGATAAGTGAAGCGGTCTACACGTTCGACCACTTCACTCCCTATCACTAGTTCAGGTGCCGATGAAACCCAATCTTGAAGCAACATTTCGCATTTCGACGGGGAAAACCGCATCCCGAACATACTTGCATTGTTGCTTAGGGTAGTCAGAAGACTCTGCATCTGGTCAGCATCTTCACCAAGTAGGACTATGTCATCGGCATATTCTAAGTCGATAAGCGAGCCTACTGGTAAAAGGTCTACTCCTGAAAATTCAGACGAGGATAAGGTTATTTCTAGGAGCATGTCTATGATAAAATTAAACAAGAATGGAGAAAGTGGACATCCATGACGGACACCACTTGATGTAGAGAATTCCGGTGACAGTTCTCCATAAGCTCTCACTCGACCAGTGGTGTTTGAGTAGAGAGCTTGTATGAGGTTAATGTACTTATTTGGTACACCCTTTAATGACAGACACTGCCACAAAACCTCACGATCCACAGAGTCAAATGCCGCCTTAAGGTCCAGGAAAACAACTATTGTAGGACGCCTAAATGTGTCTGTGTTCCAGGACCTGTCGTAGTGTGAAGATGTGGTCTATACAAGCACATCCAGGTCTGAAACCAGCCTGGTTTTCTCGAGTTTGTTCTTCACGAGCCTTCGTTAAGCGTCGAAGTATTACTGAGGCCAATATTTTAGATACTATATTAGTTAGACTTATTCCTCTGTGATTGTCACAAGAAGACTTTTGTCCTTTCTTATAGATTGGGACAATCAGTGATTGAGACCAGTCGGATGGGATTGCGTCCAGTTCCCAGATTCTACCTAAGATCTCAGTCAATCTAGCTACTAAAACTGGAAAACCATCCTTAAATATCTCAGGGGTCAGTCTATCAGGACCTGCAGCTCGTCCTCGCTTCAGATTTCCTAACGCTTTTTCAACTTCATTAAGACTAGGGGGACTTACGTCGATTTGCCATTCAGGATGACTGGAGATCGTGGGTAACTGAAGAGTGGCTGAAGGCCAGTTGAACTGATCCCTAAAGTGTTCTGCCCATCGATCCAGTCTCCTGGATTGAGAATAAATAATAGTCCCGTCATTTTCTGAGATAGTCTCACTTACACTAGGATTCCTAATACCAGTTTCCTTGATTAGTCGGAAAAGTTGTCTACTGTTGCCGATCGCCGCTGCCTTTTCCATCGCTTTTGCTTTCGCCACCCACCACTGTTCGCGATCGTTACGTAGGCTTTTTATAAGTCTGCGCCTAAGTTGACTTCGTTCTTCATCATGTTCAGAGCCAGGTGGGATGAGTTTTCGGGCATCCATCAAATCGGTGGACCCTACTGAGATCCACGGCTCCATTCTAGCCTTATGGTCAACCTTACGAGCAGATATCACTGCTGTTTCCACAGCCTTTTTAATATCATTCCATCCTGCTTCCGGATGGGAATCGCTTACGTGGTCGTGTAACTGTATTTCTAGTTCTTCCTGAAATATATTTTTCGCCTTATTATCATTAAGTAAAACCCTAAGAGGCTTTCTTACGGTGTCTTTCCTACGTCCAGTAAGCTTCAAACAAATACGCGCTCGCACTAGGGCATGATCTGAATCTAGACATGTGCTCCAGAACGAGCAACAGTCCTCTATCGAACCCCTCCATCGGTGGCTGATGGCGATGTGATCTAGTTGAGTCCAACGTTGAGACGACTTTAGAGGTCGCCAGGTCAACAGATGCTCTTCCTTACGCCTAAAGATGGTGTTTGCTAAGAATAGGCGGTTGTCTGAGCATGCTTGCAACAGACGGTCACCATTGTCTGTTCTCTGAGCCGCGACACCATAACATCCACCTAGGTGTCTTTCATTTTCACTTAGTCTAACTACTTGAGCATTAAAGTCACCAGCCATAATGACTATATCAGAGCGCCTAGCTTTTTGGAGGAGGTACGAAAGCTTTCTGTAAAACTCATCCTTAACCTCATCTGAATTGCATTCAGTTGGGGCATAGGCAGATACGATGAAGAGGCAACGGCGATTGTCCCTATCTTTCCGAGTCCTTACTGTCCCGTTTAGTCGGACAGCGCACAATCGACTATCTATTGGGATCCAGTCAAGGAGAGATTGTTCTGCCCTACGACTTAATGCTTTGCCTACGCCAGCAAGACCCCTGGAAGCAGCATCAGGGCTACCGGATACACGAAGAGTAAATCGAGCTGCTTCTTTATTTTGACATGGTGAGGCCAAGTGTATGACGCGACTCGGATCCTGTATGCGCGTTTCCGAGACGCAGCATACATCGATGGCACGAGATTCTAAAGTCCTAGCTAAGGAAGCCTGTTGCACTATTTCACACAATGTCCGTACATTGAATGCTCCAACATGTAGTCTAGAGCGAGGTTTAAGGAGACCAGGAACGACGTTTCGCGAACTCGTATCGTCTGCATTAGCTGTGCAATGTGATGAATGAATGTGAGAAGAGTTAGTCGTGGAGATAAGAGAGACATTAGGGGGTGTAGGAAGGATTTGATTTTGACCAATTTGGTCTCTCGTGCTGTTATGGGTATGAGGGCGGTTGTCACTTCCCGGCTGCCCACACCGTGGAAAATTGTTTCTTGAGGAACCTGAAAAGGAAGATAGATTAGTGTTGGTGCGTGACCGCAGAGCCCAAGGGACAGCTGCTTGAGGCCGGTCACGCACGGCCTTTTTATGAAATGTTTTTTGAGGATTAGCTCCGTTCTTAAAGGCCCTTAGTGGGCACCCTTACCCAAGGAGACGGAAATCCGTGAGTTAGGGGAGGTGTGACATTTTTAGGGTAGACCTTTCTTAACCCTTTCTTCTTTGTGAGAAGGCAGCATCGCTTCAGATGCTGGTTGTCCGAGGGAAACACCTTACTGCTGTCACACCTCTCTGCAGTCAGGAGTACGACTTCGCCCTCAGACCTTGGGTAGCTGCTTTTAGTCTCATCGTTCTCCAATCGACCTGCCTGGCATGGTAGAACCTTGAGGAACATATGTTCCAGCCAGTATAGCTCGGTTGGGTCATCACGATAGGCAAGCCCGACCACCACGTCAAGGTAGCAACTACGGTCGGGCCCAGAGTAGTAGAGGAAGGAACAGTATCATTGGTAATAAAAAAAGTATTGAGAATCGAAGGAAAGATTCAACAAAGTATAAATTAGCGATTTCAAAAAGAGTTCGGGAACTCAGAATCCAAAAGAAGACTCATTTTGCCTACTCCGACACCAAACAACATTGCTACTTAAAGTATAGTGGTGACTGGGCATATATGTTTTAACCACACCTGTTGAATATTCAATACTTCACAAATCGACTTGATATCTTTACCCAGTGCCCTATCTCCAAGCCCATTGTTGGTTACTCAGTGGTCCCAAAATCCACAGCAATGATGTGGATGCTGTTACAAGTACGAGAGCGGTTGACACATCGTATTTTCCTACACAGTCGAAGGATATCTCTATGAGAGAACTCAGAAAGAAACTAGGTAAACAGTGGTCTTAGTGACCTGGGAATGTGACATGAGAGTTCTGGGGACAACTGCCACAAATTGTCTTGCTATGGAAGATTTTTAGTGCATTAGACACAAATCAAAAGGCCTTGACGCCAGAGATGCAAATTTGTGGGGTTAGGTAAGGTTTGAAATTCTAAGGTCGACCTTGTCTAACCCTTTCCCTCCATTATGGGAAGACAGCAATGCTGCAAATATGTTCTGCCTAAGGAAAACACCTTACTGTTGTAACACCTCTCTAAAATCAGCAATGCAGCTTCGATCTAAAGTCAGCGATTTCGGTCCTTCAGTTCTTTAACCGAACTGTCTGGCATGGTAGGATATAAAAGAACATTTTACAGCTAATACAACTTTGTTGAACCATGACGAGAGATAAACGTGACCATGACTTCAAGGTACCAGATAAAATCGGTTTGAGCCACTGAATATACTGATTCAGAAACAACTTAAAGAATATGTATCATAAAATTTACAATATTTCGACAAAAATAGCTCAGCATTGAAATTTCGAAACAGCTTTTGATAACGAGTCACAATTTTTTAAACACTATAATTTAGTAAGATCTTAAAAACATTTCAACAAGGTTTTAGATATATTATCTTTCTATAATTCGAACTTATGGCTGTGCAATCAATCATTTAAACAAAACCCTAAAGTTCTATTGATCAAAAACCAAATATTCAGTTATGGAAATCCCATACAGCTAACTCAACATACCTGTTATGGTATTCATTTTCGTTGAAAAAACTATTTCACTAGCTTTCAAATACATATCAGTTTAAAACTAACAAGAAAGCACTGTAACAGTTACAAAGATGTTTCTGCTACCGTTTTCTCAGAGAAAACCAATGTCACACATTGTCTAATAATATATATTTCACATTAACTGTATAATACTAACTATAGGGACGCAATTTAAAAGACGTACAAATGTAAAGTTAAGATGGAAATTCACATAATTTTGTGAAACGAATTTATTACTATGATTTTATAGTAAAGATGAAACATTTATACTTACCGATGTTGGATTAGTTGTTATTGAAGACCTAGCCAAATGAAAGGCAACGAGGTATGAAGACTTTTGTGAAGAAAGATCCAATGCGTTGGGGAAAAATTGTGACTTATCTATTTCTGTGGTGTCTTTGATAGAGACTTCTTCTGAAACAGTGGAGTCAGTGTTTGTAACCCTGTGAATTTCCGTCAAGCTGTTTACGGTGAACAAAGCGAGTATATTGTAGCCATGATGAGCCCAGGACTAAAAGCAATACATGTACACATATAAACAAAACCGCTATTTTTATGTCAATTCACTTTTGCATGTTGCATTCATACTATTCAATTTATGACAAAAAAGCTTACTGGTACTACTGAATACCAAAACATAGGGCAAACATCCACTAATGTTTAAGACTATGATGATTCAATATCATAATCAGACATAGGATTCCTGAACAAAGACAACATAATTATGGGAATGGTGTATCACAATTACACATAAGTAAATACAACTTTATTGCATTCAGTTGGGTGATGCATTTTTCATTCATCCGGTTATTTTAAACTGATTATTTTTTCACTTGTCTGTGCTGAGTTGATTGTTGTTGCTGAGTTGACTTGCGTGTTAGTTTTTAGCATAAGCTGATGACTACTCATTATAAAACCATATAACCACTTATATAAACTTTTATATGTACATAGCCCGAGAAACCAAGACAGTTTCCTGACTTGAATCTACATCGGATATGCTACTCTGACAAATGTGACAATAACCGCTTAGTGTGCCCTGGTTTCTAAACACTCTAGCTGATGACAGTTTTCAATAAAAATAGTTTCAACCATCAAAATATTTACGAACAGCTGAAATAATAAGAGTTGACCGATTTGATAGTGAACTCAGATTTACTTTTGAGCATTTATACACGATTAAAATTGGAAAGGTAAAATAGTAATAAAAGTAACGTAGTGATTACCAAGGACAAGATATACAAAGGTTCAACGAGTTAAAGGAACGTTCATACAATTTTTTTGACGAGTAATTGGTTGCCTCTAAACAAATTAGAATTTTCTGATAAACAATCAAAAATTGAATATTTCTCATTATATTAGCCACTTATTTGAAACAAAGTTATGAAAACCTTACTCAAATTATAATGATTTCTATTAATTATGAATGAAATACAAACGATAGAAACGAAATACATATATATCTAAATAACCAGATGCCGTGACACAAAAGCGGAATAAATCATACTTCTGACTATGCAGTAACGGTTTAGTAATGAAAAACACGAACTAGTCTGAATTCGATATTGCTCCAAAATGAGTAGCACAAAATAACTGTTTACAGATATCGAAGTCACAGGGTACATCTTAAACTAGTAACAGACTACCTAAAGAATACTTCTAACTATGGTAGCAAGTGGTTAAAGCAGTGGCTTAGAGGTTAACAAAAACACAAGTTAGAGTGTATCTTAATAATTTTGGCTAAATAAGAAAAATGTAATCAGCTATTGATTAATACCAACTGCGAATATGTGGACAGATCACCAAATTGGTAACCCAACAATTACCAATAATGAACACAGATCACATAGCGATCAACCACAACAGGCGAAAGCTGTTTTTTTAGTTGTTATGGTCTATATGCCTTGAAAATGAATGGATCAATATCAACAATACAAGAATTAGAAACGAACTGTTTTAATGGTAATAATAAGAGTGGAAGAGTTTCACAATACCTACCAGATTTGAAATATTTATTTCACTAAATTTACTAAGATGCTCACTCAAGCTTGTGTATAATAACGCACCAAAAACTGACCACAACGACCAGCCCGAACGTAACCAAGCAACAGCCAAAGTATATCCATCCGGTGACCACACAATTTCAGAGACGCGCCCTACCTTTTCAGTAGCATCTACAATGAAGAAAACAAAGACCCGTTGTGAGAGTAGGTTGGTTTAGTTCAACTTAATAATCTGCATGGCAATTTAATATGTTTAAAAATGTTAAACTATCCGCTAGAAAAAGTTACCATATATATAGATATATCATTAAACATAGGTTTACAAAACGAAGACTAACAAGATGATTCCCGACCGGATATACGAAGAGTGTGTCGAATTTGAACAGCACCAGAAGTTTCATCCATCTTGTACAATAAAACTTCGTTGCTAAAAAAAGTGAAAATATTAACCTTCTTCAACACAACTTATAAAACAAATCAGTTTTCACATTAAACGCACTTACCAGCGCTTAGTTCATTGCTTGATTAGAAAACCGTTAATCAGTGAATTTGAAAATAGGAAATATAGAAAACCAGATATATAGTCAATTAAACCAAACGTACAACCTAATTTGCGACACTAATTCAGCACAAAACGATGAAATAGGAGTACAAGAAACAGTAGAGCGATTAAGTATGGAAATCATTATTCGATAATAGTGAACTTTTTGAATAAGAAATATATGATAGTTTTTAAACGCAGGATTCAGAAAGACACAAAGAGTGGGGGCGTCCATAAAATTGAAACAGATTCAGAGCTAGTCACTCAGTCTCCAAATACTAGTCCCCATCATCATGCTGACCCCAATCAGGCAGTTTGGATCTATAAACACTGTCTAGATAAACAGTTAGCAACTACTCCCACATTTTGTTTAGGATATACCTAGCTTTGATCCAACCTACACCGACATTACCCAACGTCGCATTGAAATCGGCGGTGCTTGGACACGTGATACATGTCTAAAACCGTTTTGTTCTATGAAGATTCACAACCACATTAATCATTCTTGCCTAATGCTCTATCTTTAACCTTATTATTACTCACTGCACTTCTTCACGATATGTAAGCAGTGCTTAGAAAACTCTATGACCGGACAGTTGTGATATGTGTATGTCTTCTACTTTCACTGACCATGTTTCACAATCATACAGTTATAAGAAACAAGCTACTGAATGTTATTTTCACCCGTTGATTGGCAAATGGACATCCTACGCTACAGACAGAACATGTTACAGATACAGTTTATACATGGACAACTAACACTAGGCTTTTTATAACCACGAAACAGTGATTGCCAAACGAAGAATCCTCAGACTAAATAGGTTGCGAAATATTAATTAGTAACCGATATTATTAACTAATTATGGCATCAGTCTCTCATATATGAAAAGGACACCAACGACTACTGTTATTTATAATTTTAAAGGTCTAGAGTATAGTTCTAGTTGGGAAGGAGGACGAAACCCCTGCTCAATTGAGCAATCATAAAGGTTTTTATTTAAATGACGATTCCTGAATGACCATAACTTTCCAGCCACCAATTTCTCTTACACTTACACACGGTACAATCCATGAATACTCCCTAAAGGTTTGGATGAGACATAATTTTATCTCGCAAATATTTGGCAAGACATATCCAGAAAACCTACGTTAGAAGCCAAAAACAGCGACATCTTAATGTTTAGATATCAAAATACTTTGAGAAGTCTTAAGACACAATATCATAAGTGTGCCAAACTTTGTGAAATAATTTCTAAACTTTAAAGTATGATTAAATTTAGCAAGAGAGCTAAAATCGTCAAAATGGCTACTAAGCCAAATCCAGATCAGATCTAACTGAACAAGTCAAAACGAAGAATGTAGTATTGTTTTCTTACCAACAACTCAACTTAGTTTGTATATATGAGCAATAAACGATAGTAAGTAGTGTATTGTACTAAATTAAATCTATAAAACGGAGATGTAGATGGAGAAAAGAAAATTCTTGCCTTTCAGTTCCAACAGCTAGTGTCCGGAAGCGATTATTCACAGCCATACATGTTGGCTGACCGACGTGTTCGATCAAAATTACTTCCATATCCTAAAAATTCAAGAATAATAAAAATCTGAACAATACCAAGATATCAAAAATAAACACTGACTAAACGATGGCCCGAAATTCAAACGAATGTAAACGTATTATCAATTTATGTACATTATAGGCAGAATATTATGTGAAACTGAAAGATGCAAGTCGTTATCACCATCTCCTTCGTATAAAAACAAACAAATAAATTAGGGCTATTACTGAGAATCCACTTCTGGAGTAAATAAGTAGTAAGATACAAACAAAGACGTTCAGTAAAGTCGATTACGAATTCGCCGGAAATGAATAAAAAGCCAAACAGAATTACTTTTATGAATTGGTTTACCGTTATTACTTGAGAATATTTTAAATCTCTAAAATGTTACATAGCAGAAATGGAGACACACTAGAGATGAATTCGATTAGGTCACTGCAAAATCAAGACGATTATTTTCGCCATACCCACACGGTTCAACGGGGTAGGAAATCCAAACACGGAGAGTAATGTAGCTAGTTTATGAATACCATTATAATCGAAATAACACACGTTTGAGTCGTGTAGATTCAGAGCTACTCTCGAAAATTCATATCGTATAACAATCGCAATGATAGGTATAACAATCGAAAATGCAATTTATTGTAAATAAGACAGTGACGGTGATTTCTTCAACCATGTACTAAGCGAGTTATCCATACGGAAAGTATTCTGATATTATTTACAGATATGTCAAATGTCTTAGTGCTTTGAGTTCATCACAGAAAATCAATCTATTGAATATGCCACAATATTAAATACAATTCAGGAACACCTAATTTCTGTTCCAAAAAAATTTGACACCAGTAGTATAGAAGAAAATTAAAACAATCAAGACTTGTCTAAGTTCCACCGTAAACATATAGAAGCAATCTCTTGTTTCTTTAAATCTTACCACTGTGTTCCTTACAGGTAGTCGGACTTAATTTATAAAGCAAATTTAAAAGGTCCACATGGCAAAATAAAACTTATTTCATTAGATATTTAGAAAACGTTTGAGTCGTTTCAAACGTTGGGGAAATTCATGTAAGAAGTTAAAAACAGACATAAAATTGTCAGTTAAGTTTGAAGATTCGAGTAGTGCATTTTACCATTCTAACTCCGCCAGTAGAACCTTCAGGGCTACTACCAGTCTCAAGCCCGGATAAAAGAGGAGGGGTTGGCGCCCCCATTCCAATTATAAACTAACTTGCCAAAAAAACGTTAACCAGAAAAAATAATTCAAACCATTTTAAATCTGCCCTGGCAGTTGGAAGAACAATTATAACGTCTTGTATTGAAAGCCGAGTTCCCTCGGAAGTCACGGGGCCGATGCCTCTTCTGACAACCAGAGCAACCATTCTTTTAGGTACATGGAACGTTCGTACATTGTGGGAGACTGGAAGACTATTTCAAGTTGCGGCAGAAATGAAAAGATACAACCTCGAGGTGCTCGGCATCAGTGAAACGCATTGGACACAGGTAGGACAACTGAGACTAGCTTCAGGGGAACTGCTGTTATACTCTGGCCATGAAGAAGAAAATGCTTCACATACACAAGGAGTTGCACTGATGCTGTCCAAACACGCACAAAAGGCACTGATAGGATGGGAATCTCATGGACCCAGGATCATTAAAGCATCCTTCAAAACAAAGAAAGAGGACATTACAATGAACGTCATCCAATGCTATGCACCTACCAATGACTACAATGACGACGTTAAAGATCAATTCTACGAAAGGCTGCAGTCAATCGTCGACAGATGCTCACCAAAGGATTTGACGATTCTTATGGGAGACCTGAATGCCAAGGTTGGCATGGACAACACTGGATATGAAGACATCATGGGACGATATGGATTACGAGAAAGGAACGAAAATGGTGAGATTCGCAAACCTATGTGCCTTCAACAAACTAGTCATCGGCAGAACAATATTCCCACACAAATGCATACACAAAGCTACACGGATATCACCGGATCATACCACTCAGAACCGAATCGACCATATCTGTATCAATAAAAGTTTCAGAAGGACCATGGGGGATATGAGAACCAAGAAAGAAGCTGACATAGCCTCAGATCACCACTTGCTGGTCGCCAAAATGAAACTGGAACTAAAGAAACACTGAACAACGGGGCAGACAACATTACAGAAGGACGGCTTTTCTTTGGGATACCGTAAAACTCAACGAATTCAAGATAGCCCTCAGCTATACGTTCAAGGCCTTGCAGGATCTACTCAATGGAGAGGTAACAACCTTGGAGAAAAATTGCAAAGGGTACAAAGAGGCAATCACTTCAATATGTCAGGAGGTCCTGGGTCACAAGATGCATCATCACAAGGAATGGATCTCCGTTGGTATTCTTCAAAAAATTAAAGAAAGGAGGAACAAGAGGGAAGCAATCAACATCAACCGAACAAGAGCAGAGGAATTTAAGGTACAAGCTGAATACACAGAAGCAAACAAGCAAGTGAAGAGGAGCATCACAGCTGACAAACGGAAATATGTGGAGGATCTAGCAACAACGGTGGAAAAAGGCTGCAAGAGACGGAAACTTAAGACAATTGTACGATACAACAAAGAAGCTCGCTGGAAACCATCGAAAACTGGAACGACCTGTGAAAAGCAAGGAAGGCGAAGTAATCAGCAACACAGAGGAACAGCGAAACAGGTGGTTAGAGCAATTAAAGGAACTCTTGAATCGAAATCTTGAACCCACCCAACATCGGAGCAGCACCGACGGACCTCCCAATCGATGTTATCGTACTTACAATTGATCCGACCGTAGATGCTACCTTGACATGGTGGTTGAACTTGCCTATCGTGATGACCCAACCGAGCTATATTGGCTGGAACATATATTCCTGAAGGTTCTACCATGCCAGGCAGGTCGATTGGAGAACGATGAGACTAAACGCAACTACTCAAGGTCTGAGGGCGAAGTCGTACTGCTGACTGCAGAGAGGTGTGACAGCAGTAAGGTGTTTCCCTCGGACAACCAGCATCTGAAGCGATGCTGCCTTCTCACAAAGAAGGAAGGGTTAGGAAAGGTCGACCCTAAAAATGTCACACCTCACCCTACCTTACTCCGGCGGTAAGGGTGCCCACTAAGAGCTCCAACAGAGCGGAGCTAATACTCAAAAAACATTTCATAAAACGGCCGTGTGACCGGCCTCAAGCAGTTGTCCCTTGGACTCTGCGGTCACGCTCTCAGGTCTCTAAGACCAACTCTAGTCAACCTTCCTTTTCAGGTTCCTCAAGAAACAACCTTCCATGGTGTGGGCAGGTGGGAAGTGACGACCGCCCTCATGCCAGTAACAGCACGAGAGACCTAATTGGTCGAAATCAAATCCTTTCTGCACCCCCTGATATCTCTCTAATCGCCACGACAAACTCTGCTCACATTCCTTCATCTCCCCACACCTCTGCTGCAAACGATTCGAGTCCCCGAAACGTTATTCCTGGTCTATTGAAGCCCCATTCTAAACTACATGTTGGAGAATTTAATGTACGAAGATTGTGTAAAATAGGGCAACAGGCTTCGTTAGCTAGGACTTTAGAATCTCGCGCCATCGATGTGTGCTGCGTCTCGGAAACGCGCATACAGGATCCTAGTATTATTATTATTCTGATTTCACCTTGTCAAAATAAAGAAGCAGCTCGATTTACCCTTCGTGTATCCGGTAGCCCTGATGCTGCTTCCCGGGGTCTAGCTGGCGTAGGCATAGCGTTGAGTCCTAGGGCAGAACAATCTCTCCTTGACTGGATCCCAGTAGATAGTCGCTTGTGCGCCGTCCGACTAAACGGGACAGTAAGGATTCAAAAGGATAGCGACACTCGCCGTTGCCTCTTCGTCATATCTGCCTACGCTCCCACTGACTGTAGTTCAGACGACAAAAAAGATAAGTTTTATTGAAACCTCTCTAAATTTCTCCAAAATGTTAAGCGCCCTGATACAGTGAGAATGGCTGGTGACTTTAATGCTCCTCCTAGAGTTAACATTAAGCTCGTCAGATTTTTCAGGGTTTGACCTGTGGCGTACAAGACATATGTGAGGTGCTACAGACTTTCTACCGGGAAAATCGCTTGCTGACTTAGAATATGCCGATGACATAGTTATATTCGGTGAAGACGCTGACAAAATCCAGAGTCTTCTGACTACCATAGGAAACAATGCAAGCATGTTCGGGATGCGGTTTTCCCCATCGAAATGCAAAATGTTGCTTTAAGACTAGGTTGCATAGACACCTGGACTAGTGATAGGGAGTGAAGTAGTCGAGGGTGTTGATCACTTCACTTATCTGGGGAGTCTCATCAGTGCTGATAGCCTGGCGGCTGACGAAATCTCAGCACGGATACAGAAAGCTCGATTGGCTTTTGCCAATATGCGTCACTTATGGCGTAGGCGAGATATCCGTTTGCTGACCAAAGGATGAGTGTACTGCGCAGTAGTTCGCTCCGTTCTCCTATATGGATGTGAAACATGGCCGTTAAGAGTAAAAGATGTTCGTAGGTTATTAGTATTCGATCATAGATGTCTTAGAAGCATTGCTGGTATATCGTGGGACACCGGAGTGAGCAACGCTGTTATTAGGAAACGGGTGCTAGGTAAGAATGGCAGATCAGTAGATGAAGTGGTGAACCTTCATTAGTTGAGGTGGTTGGGACATGTGTTACGAATGTCTAACCAACCAATGACAGCCTCGTCGAGCTATACTTTGTGGTGTAGGAGTAGGTTGGAAGAAAGCTAGGGGCGGCCAGACCAAAACATGGCAGAAATCCATGAAGTCATTGACAAGTGGAATGAGTCATGTTGGTAGATGTAGGCTACCTGGTTGGGGTCCGCGGGACGATAATAGCCAATGGTTAGAGACCTTGAACGACATGGCTCAAAATCGTTTGCAATGGCGCAAGTGCATCCGTTCGTTGTGCTCTCTCAAATTCTAATCTTCTGGATTCTTCAGCACCTCTACCTGTCTTTCTAACCTTATCTCACTAAATTATACTTCTTGAATGATATCTTAAAACCGTAGTCTTCTTCATTACCATTAATACCTCTACTATCTCTATCACTATGGGATTTGATTTCACATTTGCGTCTCTGTGTTAATGTGGTATGGCAACCTGAGCTTATGTACCTACGTACGACGTTCTACGCTGCAACTGACTGACTGACCTACGATTGAGGAGATCAGTATGGCCATCAGGCAAATCAAGAACGGCAAAGCAGCAGGACCAGACAACATTCCAGCAGAGGCAATGAAAGCAGACGTGAAAGCAACTGCAGAAATACTTCACATTCTCTTTAACAAGATTTGGGATGACGAACAAGTACCATGAGACTGTAAAGAACGAAGCCTGATCAAAATACCAAACAAAGGCAATCTCAGCAAGTATGAGAACTACAGAGGCACCAATCTTCTCTCAATACCAGACAAAGTCTTTAACAGGGTATTGTTAAACAGAATCAAGGACTTCGTAGACGCCCAACTTCGAGTTCAACAGGCTGGATCGCATAAGGATCGATCGTGTACTGACCAAATTGCTACATTACGGATCATTGTGGAACAATCAATTGAATGGAACTCACCACTCTACATCAACTTCATTGACTACGAGAAAGCAGTCGATGGCGTGGACAGGAAAACACTATGGAGGCTTCTTCCACACTACGGTGTGCCTGAGAAGATACTCAACATCATTCGGAATTCTTATGATGGATTAAACTGCAAAATCGTGCACGGAGGCCAGCTGACAAACTCGTTTGAGGTGAAGACCGGTGTCTGTCAAGGTTGCTTGCTCCCACCCTTTCTCTTTCTCCTGGTCATCCACTGGATTATGAAGCACGGTATCCAATGGAAAGCTAGGACGCAGCTTGACGATTTGGAATTCGCAGATGACCTGGCTCTTCTATCTCACACGCAACAACAAATGCAAGAGAAGACAATCAGTGCAGCAGCAGCCTCAGTAGCATTAGGTCCCAATATACATAAACGGAAAAGCAAGATTCTATGATACAACACAACATGCGTCGACCAAATCACTCTTGATGGAGATGCGTTGGCACCTTAACATATCTTGGCAGCATCATCGACAAGCAAGCTGGATCCGACGCAGATGTGAGGGCACGGATCGGCAAAGCAAGGGCTGCATTTTTATAAGTGAAAAATATCTGGGACTCCAAACAAATATCAATCAACACCAAAATCAGGATTTTTAATACAAATGTCAAGACAGTTCTATTGTACGGAGCGGAAACTTGGAGAACTACGAAAGCCATCATCCAGAAGATACAAGTATTTATTAACTGTTGTCTACGCAAAATACTTAGGATGCGTTGACCAGACACTATCAGCAACAACTTACTTTGGGAGAGAACAAACCAGATTACAGTGAAGGAGGAAATCATGGAAAAACGGTTGAAGTGTATAGGACACACACTGCGAAAAGCACAGAACTGCGTCACAAGACAACCCCTCACATGGTACCCTTAAAGTCAAAGGAAAAGAGGAAGGCCAAGGAACACATTACGCCGAGAAATAGAGCAAGTTGTTTGGAGAAAACTGGTCGGCGGCCTATGCTTTGTTGGGGGTAACAGGCGAAAGTAAGTGTTTTACTATTCTAAGTATATGAAGAGCCTGGACTAATTTTCCAAGCTCTGTATGTGAATTACCATCATCTTATAACGAAAAAACAAATAACCGAAATGTTCGAGATCAGATTAACCAATGACCTTGCATCTTTCAGGATGATAAATCATCTCCAAAACATTTGAATAGATGTTTCCGTATCTTGCTTCTTCATTGGGAATGTTTGAATTACTGAAAATACCAATACCACATCGACGTATAAGAACTATAATTATTACAGCTAATTCCTTTGGATGTTGAAACGATTTTCACTTTAACCACTATATCCTTGCTGCCCTACTGAATTTAGGAATTTCGGGAAACAAAAACCTTGTCAAGCTTTATTCAGCTGAACCCTGAAGTAGCCTAACTAGAGGGACTCTTAGATCTCACAAAAAGCACGCTACTACAACATAACACCTAGATCCTTTTTCATAAATAAACAGGTACATAAAGGTGAAATCATATTTAGTTATCACAGGGTCATTTTTCATACGAACCGTTTGATTTGCGACAGAACCAAATGATACAAACAAAGCTATATGACCAGAAGAAAGAAGAACGAAGGCGCCACCAAACGTAGGAGCCCATTCCACACTTTTACAATAAACTTGTAGTTGCGAATTTTTGTCACCTGAAAATAAGAGAGAATACCAACTGCAGTGCAATGGAAAAAATGCGACCTTGTGTGACATCTAATAAAGTAAATTATTAAACGGAAAAACGTCATGTGAAATTATCTAGCTTTCACTTAACTCACTGGAAAACTACTTGGTGAAATAACAGTATACACAAAATCGCTTTCAGTAGGCCATGTGAAAAAGTATCAGACATCTAGTTCGAATCTACAGCTGAACAAAACTTTCCATAAGTTGGAAAGGCGTATCAAAGATCCCCATAGTTATGCTTCGAGAAACTGTTTATATCATAATTAATCTATTTGATATTTGTGCTATCGAAATAATAAGCATGATATATTTACATATACGAAACCGGATGGCTAGATTAGTGCTTTTATTTAACCACCACAATTTCTATTCACTACTGGTTACTTTTTAATGCAGGTAAAACGCAAATTAAATCATTTTTTCCGAAAACAGTGGAGTGATTATAAATTCTTTATCAGGTACTTGAGTATAGGGAACACTTGAAGTGTGAGGGCTGGTAATTTGCCTTGGTTTTCGAAACCGAACATTGGACTACTAAGCCGCTAGTGTTCAGAGGTTAGACAACTGAATTTATTAGATTAACCGTTTAATACTATCCAAGCTAAAAACAGAATGACCATTTTGGGACTCATGATCTTGGGAAATCGAAACGTTTTTTGACAGGACAAAAGTGATGCCTAGTACATTTTTCTATATTTACACATACTATATAAAACGTAGCTGACACACTGAAACCAGTAGAACCTTGATCGTAGAAACCAATTTGTCTGACCAACTGTAATAAGGACACGGCTAATATTTTATGAAACATTATCCGTGAAAGTATTTAAGGATTGTGGAGAATTAAAGCGCTATCCTGAACTGCAGATAATATAAGATATACAAAAGTCCAGAAATAATATCACATTAGGTGCAAAAAGCATAATATTCTACTGTATTTTAAGCCAAGTTATTCAGGAAACTATGGATTATTAAGATATTTGGCTCGAAGGGAAGTAATCTATTGTCATATCTAAGAGACAGTCAGTCAGCTACAACACAGAACTTCATGCGTACATACATGAAGTTGCCGTACCACATTGGCGCACAGAGATCGAATAGACAATTCAAATCCTGTAGTAGTAAAGGTAGTAAAAATATTAGCGGTTATGGAGATTAGAGTTCAGAGATATTATCCAAGTAATATTTAGTGAAACAAATTTAAGAGATAAGCAAAGGTCCACGGTGAGGACACTCTAGAAGTGACATACCACATTAGCACAGAGACGCGACTGTCAGTTCAAGCCCCCTAGTGGTAGAAATCGTATAAGTATTAGTGGTAATGGAAAAAATTTGGGTTCGAAGAAATTATCCAAGAAGTGAGATGACTTTAGAAAAAAAAGATAGAAGTGATGAGGAATCCAGTAGATTAGAATTTCAGAGAACACAAAGACTAAGGAACCTTAAGCAATACTATATTAGTGTAGGTTACAGAAAATCAGAACACATAGTATCAGGGGCTAGATAGGCCGTATATCGATGCGCGGACAGTCTAGGGAAGATATCTGGACTAACATAAGCTTTTAACTAGAAAGTATGGATGAGGGTGAATTCCCTACTTAGTCTTCAAATAGTAAAGCCTTAAGATTTTATAGTTTTTAATTTTCATTCTCTCTGCTGGTTTATTATGTGTTGCTGTGAAGAAAAACTTTTGCGAAAATGTACGAGAAAATCGGATACAATTGTAATGGGACAGTCAAGACGAAAAATACTGATATTGGTGACTGACAGCTGGTACTCTTAAAACCTGCCTAAAGCTGAAATTATTTAGAATGAAAAGAGAATCATAAACGACCAAATGATAATATTTCTGAAAAATTACTGCAGCATTTGATATCTCTTGGCAAATTGATAGATCTAAGGTTGATAGACTCTCCACAGAGCGAACCATCCCATCGCATTCTTACTAATTCCCCTTTCTCAGAAGCAACGACAGTAATCTCACCCAAAGAGAACACACTACAAATTAAAAATGTTATAAATTCAACTTACCTGCATTTACATTCAGCAACACGTACAGTATGTTTTAGGGAGAATATTTCAATGGACGGGTTAGGGCTGCTGATTTTCCTTAAGATCTTTCAAGCAATGCAAATATATACCTGTCAGAATTCAACAATTCGCAGACGTTTTGTAAGTTTTCGACAGCATATATCAGGACTATGCCCTTCTCAGTCTAAAAGTAATATAATTGTGAAATCCAACTAACACATAGAAGTATTTTAGAAGAATCCCACTTTAGAACGGCAGACGATGTGGACCCATTTTCTTTCAAGCACAAATCTGAACGAGTAAAATGTGCTATTGCACACAAAAGCTTTTTATTCAAACTAGGAAAGGCGAGAAATTCTCACTTTAAGGTGAAAAACAACAACATCCGCACGGGTACAGACAATAAAGGTTTCCCCATCTTCAGAAGCACACACTGCAAAGATTTCGTCCAAATTACAATATGACTCAAGGACTGAAGGCCAACCAACAAACCAGTGCATCGCAGCCTTCAGAAAAGGCGGTTAAACTAGCCGATAACCTGTGTAATTACTCCAGTACTTAAATTCACTTTCGAATATTGTTCCTTAACGTTTACTAGTGACAAGTACTTATAATTTTTTCAAACTTAAACTTTAAAATTAGGATGTCTTTGATCATCGGTTAATAAATCAACCGCTTCAAAAAATGTGACCAAACTTTAAAATTTGTTAGTCAAAACTCGTCAGATGTTTATTTTTCGGGATCTGAACCTAATTTGTTCGAAACCAGTGCCTCAGTTGTAAATATCCCAGAGGAACGCTCTACAAAAGAATCTAATTATCATATCATGACTTATAACACAAGAATCAGCGAACGTTAAGAAACTAGAATCATCTGAACAAGGCGGAATAAATGGATAAATGTGAGCTGTCTCTTCATTTTTTGATATATTAACACCAATCAATAGCCTTTCGATGTCATTACCAACTACCTCCTACCTGAAAATGATGAAGTCCATTACTGCTATTTTCAACAACTACGACCAAATTACGAAGCTGAATGTAGCCCCACATTAAAAACCGATATCTGGAAATAGAAAAATGTTTGAAAGCCATCAGGATCAAGGGATACAGGATGTCGAATGGTTAAAATAAACTTTGAAATAAGAGTACATGCTACCTTGCTGCCATGCATTTTTAAATCGTCATACAGGATTATATCTTCTGAACTCTCCATAGTTAGTGCAGCCATTTCACGGTTGGTTGTTCTTGTAGGCTGTATTGTATTATAACTCCTAATCGTCGCATGCATCAGGTCTTATAATCACGAAACAGTCGTTACTTGTATGATCAGATTAGACTTAGAGTATATTTACTGATTAACGGATCATATGTTTCACTTCCTGTAATTGATATTACTAAGCTGATTAATGAAAGATTCAAGAAAAAAAGAAACATGTCCTGCGTACTTATTTCCAAATCTATCCGATTGCGATCTATCCATGTCTTTCTCCAACTATCAGCTCAATATGTTCCTTGTTTTACTACTCAAGGTTGAAGATTGCATCGGGACACAATTGAGTTGCTTCTGCAGTGTGTTTTCTATGTACCTCCAGCGTTGATTCCTAATCTCTTCCTCAACTAGGATCTGGTTTGTTCTCTCCTACAATAGTTTGTTGCTGACAGTGTCTGGTCAACGGATCCTCAGTTTCTTGAGTAGAAAAATGTTAATAAACACCTGTATCTTTTGATTGGTGGCTTTCGTAGTTCTCCAAGTTTCCGGCCCATCCAACAAAACTGTCTTGACGTTTGTGTTGAAAATTCCGACTTTGCTGCTGGCTGGCCGTTGTTTTGAGTACTAGGTGTGCTTGACTTGTTCGAATACTTCCCTTGCTTTGCCAATCCGTTCATTCACATCCACGTCAAATTCCTCTTGTGTTCACCTCTTTCGGAGCTTCTCCGTCAAGTGTGAATTGGTTGTTGCTCACTGTTTTATACCCCAATAGCTTGCTTCTTCCTTTGTATATCTCAAGGCATACTTCTGCAGGGGTTGCTGCTAAACTTAACGTCCTCATATGTAATTGTTGGTGTGTGTGGGACAGAAAAGCTAGATCATCTGAGCAGTGCAAACCGTCCAACTCCATCCAAACTGTCCACCGTATTTTTCGCTTTTCTGAAATACCTTATAATCCAGTCGACCACAAGAAAAGAGGAAGGGCGAGAGTAAGTAACTTTGTTTGGCACTGATCTTCAGCTGGATCCCATCTATGAAGTGTCCTGCACACACGATTTTGGAGTATAATTCGTCGTAAGAACTTCGTATGATGTTGACAATCTTCTCAGGAGCACCATGGGTTCGATGAAGGTACTGTTATGTTCTCCTGTTTACCCAATCAAGGGAGTTGACCTCACGTGGTGAGTTACGCTCGACTGAATAGTCAGCAATGATTTGAATTGTCGCGATTTGGTTGGAACACGATTAACCCATACTGAATGAAGCCTGTAGATCTCAATGTTTATCACTTGCCGAATCTTTCATTAACAGTGTTGAAGACTTGTCCTGGTACCCATAGCAGACTGTTGCCTGTGTCGTTCTCACACTCGTTGAGATCTCTCTTCTTTGATATATTTATGAGGAATCCTTCTTTCCAGTCTGTTGCTACCTGTTCTTTCTACTAAATCTGGCCAGAGGGAGCGTGGATCATGATTACAGTTCATGATTATCCTAATGGTTGGAATGCTTTTGAATGAAATAGAGGAAGTTTTCATTTGACGGGCTGTCGTATCTTGTAGCAATGAATCTACCATCTCATTAGGTGACGAATTCCAGAATCCGACTACTCGTACAGAGTTGATGTGCCATCCATTCTTCTATGTTGTGCCTCTAGTTTTCAGGTATTCTCTCCGAGGTCTGTGTTGAGACTGAGTAAGTATTGTAGAAGATGCACAGCAGTGTTTAAAATTCAATGGAACATCAGAAAGTCATTTCCGAGACACCTATACTCTAAAAAGAAAATATCCATTGACGTGAGGCGGTCTTCATAAGGTTTGGACTTCAGTCCTAGAATCGATATCGTGGCTCTCCTTTGGATAAGTTTCGGTATATTCTAGTCTTTCTGGAGTGGAGAAGAAAATGCTATATTTCTATACTCTAAACTAGACAATGAAGCCATTAAAAAGTAGGTGTAATGTTCTACAAGCAAACTGACCGAAACTAAGCTCTAACGTTCCCAGTGCAAAGTTTGCTTGGTTGACACTGTTGTTACAGATCGCGTAAGACTTCAAATCATAAGGTATCACGACTCCTAGATTCAATTCCAGACACCTCTAAAGGAATATTACCCAAGCTGTGTAGATATTCCGCAGCATGTCTGAAATGAACTGCTTTGCATTTTGAAGTGTTAAGTATAATTTTGTTGTCATTCGCACAAACTAGAATTTGGACGGACGCACCTGGCAAGACCCAACGATCGCCGTTGTCCTGAAAGTTTTTTAGTGAGAGTTCTCTCCATTTTGAGGCGGAAACTTAGGGAACTACGAAAGCCATCATCCAGAAGATACAAGTATTTATTAACAGTTTTCTAAGCAAAATACTTCGAATCCGTTGGCCAGACACTATCAGCAACACCCTACTGTGGGAGAGAACAAAACAGATTACAATGGAGCAGGAAATCTGGAAGAAGCGGCAGAGGTGTTAGGTCACACACTGCGGAAAGCACCCAAATGCGTCATGAGACAAGACCTCACTTGCAATCACAAAGGTAAAAGGAAAAAAAGGAGGCCAAGAAACACATAACGCGAAGAAATGGGGAAAGATATGAGAAGAATGAATAAAAATTGGGCGGAACTGGAAAGAGAAGCCTAGCATAAAGTAGGTTGGAGAACAGTGGTCGGCGGCCTATGTTCCATTGGTGGTACCTGCCGTAAGTAATTAAATGAGTAATTATCGCCATTTTCCTGTCTTCTTCATCCGTTTTGTATTGGTATTTGTGGATCCTGTAGAGTACTTCAGTGATCACAGAAACGGACGTGGATGCATAGACCACACTCTCACTAATTGTTAGGTCCTGTAGCACAGACACACTGTTGTTGCATTCCTTGACCTTCAAGCGCGCATTTGACAATAGTTGTCCAGGTTTAGCAGTTGAATTAGCTCAGATCTTAGCTAGAATACGTAAACTGGACGGTATCCTATCCGACCGGTCTCAATCACTGACTGTCCCGTTGTATAGAAAAGAAAAAAGTCCTGTTGTGGCAATCACACAGATATCAGTTTAACGAACATAGTGTCCAAAACGTAATACACGTCGACAGGTCCTAGAACACAAACACACATTTCGGCGTCCGAAAATAGTTGTCGTTCGAGGACTTTAACCGGCTTTTTACAATGTCGGTCGTGAGGTTCTCTTGCAGTGTCTGACATTAATAAATGTACCAAAGAAGTACATTAACCTACCACAAGCTCTCTACTCGAACACTATCTGTCCAATTAGATCATATGGCGGATTTTCATCAGAACTGATTACTTCAAGCTGTGTTCGCCATGGTTGTTCACTTTCTCCATTCTTACTGAACTTTGTGACTGACATGGTTTTGGCGATAACACCATCTTCGTTTGAATTTTCAGGAGTTGAACTTTTACCAGGAAATTCACTTGTTGACTTATATTATGTCGATGGCATAGTTCTACTTGGTGAGTACGCTGACAAAATGCAGAGTCATTTGAACACAAGCATGTTCGGGATGCGATTCTCCCCCTCGGAATGCAAAATGTAGCTTCAGGTTTGGGTTGCATCAGTACCTGAACTGGTTATAGAGAGTGAGGCGGTTGAGCATGTTGACTGCTTCACTTATTCGGAGTCTCATCAGTGCTGACGGCCTGGTGACTGACTAAATCCCAGCACGAATGCAGAAGGCTCGACTGGATTTTGTCAACATGCAGACTGTTGAACGATCCTACTGCGCAGCAGTTCGCTCTTGGGGCAACCGATTAAGCAATGCTGTTGTTAGTATACGGGTACTCGGTAAGGATAGCAGATCAGTAGATGATATATTGAAACTTCATCAATTGAGGTGGTTGGGTCAGGTATTACGTATGCCCCACTACCGACTGCCTCGACGAGCGATGATGCCTGGTATAGGGGTAGGCTGGAGGGTATTTAGGGGCGGTCAGACCAAAACATGGCAGAAATCCATGAAATCAGTAATAAGTTGACTGAGTCATGTTGGTAGGTGTAGACTACCTGGTTGTGGTCTGCGAGATGGTAGTAACCGATGGTTAGAAGAGACCTTGAATGACATGGCTCGAAATCGTCTGCGATGGCGCAGGTGCATTTATTCTTTGTGTTCTCTGAAATTCTAGTCGGAATTCCTCATCACCTCTATTTTTCTCTTTTCGAATTTATTTGACAGGATAATATTTTTTGAATATTATCTTCGAACCCTAATGTTCTCCATTACCGCTAATAATTCTACTATCTCTACCATTATTGAATTTGAACTGACGATAGCGTTTCTGTGCT